TTCCAGGAAAAATTTATTATGACCTCAATCCAAAGAATTAATAACAGATACAAATGTGAGTTTGTTCAGCATGTTGTCAGTAACAGGCATGGGAGATCAGACATGATATTAGGCAAAAGCTCTAGAACGGCCAGCCCATTCTTCCCAGAGCTCCTTCACAAGAGATATAAGGATGACTCCACAGCAGGATTAAGGCTGTGTTACTGAGGTTCTAGGAAATAAAGTGTCTCAGAACAAGTAATGACGAATATCTCAGGAGACTCTGGGAACATCTGTCTGAGACTGTCTCAAAGACTGATAGCAAGGCTGGGAGACAGAGGAAAACAGGAGGTAAAGCAGTTTTGAAGCATGAAGGCACAAACAGAGCAGTTAAGAATCAACTGCAAAAAAAGGGTAGGTTACTCCTCTGCCTGTGGTGCTGGCATACGATTTGGCACAAGATTGAGTTTTAAATGCTCCACTTCTGATCCAGCTCCTTGCTAACATGCCCGAAAAGCGGCAATATACAGCTCAAGTCCTTGGGCCCCTGTACACATGCGGGAAATCAAGAAGTAGTTCCGGGCTCCTGGTCATTGTGAAGACTCAATTGGCTAATCCTCTGCCTGCAAGCACTGGTATCCGATATGGATGCCAGTACGTATCCCGACTGTTCCACTGTCCATCCAGCTCCCTGTTTATGGCCTGGAAAAGCAGAGGAAGATGGCCCAAAGCCATGGGACTCTGTACCCACAAGGCAGACCCAGAAGAAGCTCCAGGCTCTGGGCTTCAGACCAAGCCAATTCCAGCCATTGTGGCCATTTGGGGAGTGAACCAACAGATGGAAGATCTTTCTCTCCGTTTCTCCTTTTCTCTCTGTTAATCTGCATTTTAAATAAATAAATCTTTAAAAATATCCATTATAACCAGAACATTAAGATATACACGTGAACAGGAATGGAGGATGTAGCTAAAAAAGTATTTGGAGAACAAACAACGCTGATCTTTCAAGGTAAAATAAGGAAGAGCACATTGTCTTGCAGACAACTGAGAAGCCACAGAGGGACAGGAGAGACACTAGAGAAAAGAGGACTGAAAGAGTACAGCCATCAAGAAAAACATTCTACAAAACGATGCCCTTTATACTTCTCACCATGAAGTGAGAGCAAGGTTTACTTTGTACTACCCAGAGGATTAAGAGTTAAAGGTCTCAGGGGCTTGTGTCGTGCATAGTAAATAAAGCTACCACCTGTGACACTGGTCTTCTGGCTCCTCTACTTTCAATCCAACTCCCTGTGCATGGCCTGAGAAAAGTGGCGAAAGTTGGTCCAAATGTTTGGGTGCTTGCCACTCACATGGGAGACCTGGATGAAGCTCCTGGTCATTGCGGTCATCTGGGGATCGAACCCAACAATGGAAGGTTTCTCTGTCTGACTTTCCCTTTTTGTAATTCTTTCAAATAAATAAGTAATGTTTTTCTTAAATAGACACAAAAATGCAAAGTTGAAAATGTCAAAAGCTGAAATGCTCCAGCGAACACCTTGCTCCAGGATGCCCCCTCCTTATGGCGCCCCCTTGTCTTGTCGTGCCCCCCTCGCCTTGTGGTGCCCCAGCCTTGTGGTGCCCCAGCCTTGTGGTGCCCCTGCCCTGTGGTGCCCCTGCTCTGTGGTGCCCCTGCCCTGTGGTGCCCCTGCCCTGTGGTACCCCCCCACCTTGTGGTGCCCCCCGCCCTGTGGTGCCCTCCTTCCTCACCTGGTGTGTGCTGAGATTGCACAGAATGACATCCCCAGAGGCGGTGGCCACACACACTGACTCCTGATCCAGCAGGTCCTGAATCCCAACGATACAGCCACTTTTATCCTCCGGGAGAAAGCCTTCTGCCACCAAAGGAATTTCATTTTTTACCTTTCACCAAAGAAAACACAACAGCAAATTAACTCGCTTTCAAGAATAATTTGCAATAGTTCCAGAAATAAAACACTTTAAATACTTCTCTTTTAATATGAAAGCTTTTCAAAAGATGTTTTTAAATTAAAATCCAAATTTTCAGTTAAGATTACAATTCTATCAATTTTAACAAGACAACCTGACCTTTTTGTCAAATAAACACAAGATACACAGAAGCAAATATGGTCTTTTTATCTTAAAAAGTTTAATAAAACATGAACCAAGTATTTGGTTTTCTAAGATTTCCAGAGTGCAGGGGAAGGCAGTAAGAATGCAAGCATGTAAAAACAGTGGTAGTAAAATGCAGCTGAGGGACTATATCAAAATGAACCCACAGAGCTTTTACAAATACACGGTCAGCCGCAGCACAGAAGAGCATGTACAGGTAAAGGGCTTCCTGGGTACCTTTCAGGTGCACTCCCACTCGGGCATCGTTGTCCTATTAGTGCATTCACATGGCAGAAAGGGTTAAACAGGATACGCATACAAATTATAAGATCAGAGTTTGTCAGTTTGGCTTAAAATAGTAGAGTTAAAGGTAGCTTACTATTTAAGGAGAGTCTAACACGACCTCTACACAAACCAAAAGGAATGTTTCTTTAGGAAGATGGCAATTCTTTGAGAGGTAATGAAAGACCATCTGAAGGGAAGGGAGTTTGGAGGTCATATGGGAATTCTCCATGAGTAACTCACCTCTCTTGTGACAGGGTCTATCTCTACCAGCCCGTGTTCTGACCCAATCAGCACTGTCCCCAGTTCAGGTCGCAGACAGAAGCACTGAGGCTTCCCTGGAGCTTGAATATCCTTGAACTCCAGGGTCTGAAGTAACTTTAGATTTCGCATGATGAAGCAATTCCCAGAAGAAATGCACAAATCTCCCCGGATGAAGCATTAACCCCTGGGAAGGAAAGGAAGGACTTAGTAGATAAATGGCCGTTCACCTGAGCAGAACAACTCGGGGTGTTGAAGTAGCAGTCACAACACAGGCCCACATCCTCACATGTGGCAGCAACCTGTCAGAGAACACGCAGCACTGAGCCACACGCTGAGCGTGCCTGAGGCTACTCACATGTTCCCTCCACCACAGCCAAGGCTCAATGTCATCGTTTATTCTTCAGAAAACACTGAAGGGCAGCGATGCCCCAGAGACGGTGGAAAGAACAATCGGAATGGGAAAGCATTTTACTATTTGCATACTACAAATTTTGTAACGCAGATGGATTTCTAAAGTTATCAGATGCTACTTATTGCAGCTATGTAAAATCCACGTATATAAACGTGCAGTTGCAGATAATTTTGGAGTAAAATGACTTTAATATCCATCAGATAACTATTATTAAGCCAACTTTATATGTGCATAAAGAATAAGAATTGAAATAAAAAAATATTTTCTCAGGTGTATAGGAAGACACTGTGAAACGATGAGTTTATGTATCACTATGCTATGTTTATATCTGCACAGGTGCAGGAGCCCAAGCACCTGGGCAATCTAACACTTGAATCAGAAATGGGAGCCAAATCTTGAACCGGCGGCCACATGGGATGCCGGCACTACAGGTGGAGCCACCCTTGCCCTCCAACTCCAAGGATAAGGAGGAGCAGCCCCCCATCACCCCTGGTTCTGACCCCTAACCCTAGCTAAGGGTTGCAGCTCCTTCTTCCAGGTGCACTGGTATAGTACTTCATTGCTGCTGCTGTTCAGTTTTTGTTCCTCCAACAACTATTTAACCAACCCTTTACATTCTCTCCACTGGAAAGTTGCTGCCCAACAACCAAACAACCCGCACGGAGCTACAAGGGTGAGTTCATTCATCCCCTTCACACCCCCAGCTTTGCCCGAAAACAGCTCCGACTTCACACGCACCACTCTCACTCCCTCAGCCTCAGGGACAGATATGCCTGCCCTTTCACGGCTAGGACAGGAATACCCTCTGGAGTTTCCCCGCGAGCCAAGTCTGCTAACACGCTTTTCTGTACATCCGTAATCCTCAACTCCCCTGTCTCCACTGATTCAGTGTTCCTGGTTCTCAGATGTGCTCACACTCTGTCCACACCGCAGGTCACTCCTGCGAATCTCCTAACTCTGACAACGCCATTTGCTCCGCTCCTCTGTTCCTTCATTCCCCTCTTGGCTAACACAGGACAGGGAGGTCACCAACATGTTGATCAGATACACTGAAACACTGAGCGCTGACTGAAGAAGTGTCAGGGTACTCCCAAGTGAACGTGCTCAACACGTGACATTATCACACGCGTGTTTCACAAACAACACAAGTACAACCTAGAAAAGGAGAATTTCCTATTCTTCCACTAAAAGACATTTTCCCCTACTCGGGGGACAGATTTTTTCTGGTCTTAAATTGAAAACTCAGTCCGCTCTGCCTTTCTGCTGACTTTCCTAAAAGAGACTGGTTCCCTCAGGGGTGGCTGTCCCTCCCACAGTACCTAATCCTAAGACCGGGTGAGCGACCTCCATCAAACTCTAAACACGGCAGCCAAGTAGTCCTTGCTTCCACGGAAATCCCAGTGGAACAAGGGAGGAGATCACCAAAGCACCCACATCAGGCCGATGCCATGAAGGCCCGTGGCACGGCACCCCCACCTCTGAGCCACGGCTTTCCAACCTGGGTTAATGAATTCGCTATCGCAACCCCCAGCAAAGATCCGGAGGCTGGGCTGTCATCCCCGGGCCGCAGGGGGAGCGTCCGCAGCCAGAAGCTGAGGGTCGAGGAAGGAGGCAGCACGCGCCTCACTCCACCTGGGTCCCTTCCATCAGGCCGCGCCAGGGCGCTCAGGGCCCGGTCGCTGCCACACTCACCTGCGCCGCGCCGAGGACGTGCAGACAGCGGTGCGCCCGCCCTCGCGTCCTCGGCCTCGCGCAGCTGGCTTCCCCGAAGCCGCCGGGGCTGCAGCCACTCCGCTCCCAGGCACAGAGGTAGCAGGGCGGCCGAGGGGCCGAGCGGGGAGCACCGACGCACGAGCTGGGCAGACCCAACAGGCGCCGAGCGGCGCGCGCGTGACGTCCCGCGGCGGGGGCGTGGCCAGCGGAGAGCGGCTTCGCGGGCCGCTGGCCCTGTTGGACTTTGTCCGGCCGAGGAGGAGGGAGAGGGGCGCTGCTAGCCCCGCGTCCTCTCTCCCCTCCAATGGTACTCGATTTGTCCTGCTTTGACAGCGCAGCGATGGGGGGACTGGAGACGGAGCCTGTTGGGCAGGGGAGCTGCGCGCGTGCGCACGACGTGGCCGCACGCCGGAAGGACACAGCCTAGGCCGGCCCAGCTGGAGGAAGGGCGGTGGGGCTGGGGGTCGCCATGGCTACCGAGGCCTCGGCTGCAGAGCCGGCTGTGCCGTCGCTAGTGGATCGTTATTTTACTCGCTGGTACAAAACGGGTAAGTGTGTGGGAGGCGGGACTCTGGTCGTCCGCTGTGGCCTACCTCTATGGCAGTGCAGGGACCCCGAGGAGGAGCCTCGCACGCTGCCACGCCTCACGAGAAGCGGCCTTCGGCGTTCCTGTGTGGACCGTGGAGGTGGCATTGGGAGGCCTGGAACACTCGTGGAGATGCGCGGGCTCCAACGCGGGAGGCCTGCGGGGATGCTGAACCAGGCCGAGCTCCTCGCGGTCCATGCTGGCGGGCCCGGGGCTCCCAGCTAAACTGAGTCGCGACGCATGAAATCCCGGCTCTGAGGCGAGGTGATGACAGCAAGGTGCGGGGAAGAGGGCAAAATACGACAGAGACCTTCAGAGAGCAGAATCTGGTTGTATTGCTTAAGGACAAATCTGCAAATTTTTGGTGCAAAAACAACTATGTGTAGGCTTCAGAATGTTAAGCAAACTTATCAGAAATAAAAAAATTAATGATTATTTGGGCCAAGTCCCTGTAAATACTTTTGGAAGGCTTCAGGTGTACTTTTTGAATAATGATCAGCATGTGCATAAGAAAACCCAGGAAAGTACGAATAGTAGGGAGAGCTGTTCACTCCATAGCCAATGAACTCATTCCTTCTTCCAGATGTCAAAGGAAAACCTTGTGAGGACCACTGTATACTCCAGCACTCTAACCGGTAAGCAAATTGGGCTTTCACCTTACCAAAATTTAGCCTGGTATGGTCGTGAACAATGGTCATAAGCATCCATTGCTTAGTCAGTCTGAACAAATCAGCTTGATTATCCAGAGGTCCAAATGGAGGATCTGGCCCTCAGCTACTACCTAAGGTAGGCAGCCTGTGCCTCAGCACCCGCCTGCCAGAGCCCTCAGTGGCGGCTACAGCAGAGGCCTCCGTGGTATCCTAGACACGCAGGCGGGCCTTGCCTCTCTCTCCTGTACCCCAGGGCTTCCTCAAGACTTCTGGTACTCTTATGGGAAGGAAAGTCAATCTTATTTTCTCTGTTGTTTCTCTGTTCACATGTACAGTTATGCTGCAATGTCAGCCAAAGGAACAAAAGAGGCAATGACAGCTTGACTAAACAAATGTCAGAAAAACACTTGTGCCCGTAGGATAATTTGGCAGAAGAGGAAGGAGTACAGCAAGCAGTAACCTGGGATCGATCTTTTCTCCTTGCAGGATATGTGTCATCACACTAGCAGGGTCTCATCCAGTTCTTCAAAGTGGGAAAACGATTACAAGCATTTCCTATCAGATCAGTAGCAACTGTAGCCGACTTCAGAACAAGGTCTCTGGGAAGTTCAAGCGGGTACGTGGCCATAATCCTGTGGTTATCTACTTAATGTCTCTGTATTCACAGTAAGGCCAGATCCAGGCAGTCTTAGAATCTGCTAACATGAGTTTAACATGCTTCACTGGCACTCTGGTTTTATGTATACTTGCACCCTAAAGAAATTCTCAGACCAATAACAACGGGCTATTTCAGTATGTACAATGACTGTCTCAGTAAGTTCTGGACCTCTTTCTCATCCCCTGAATGGAGGAGCAGACTGTGGGCTTTTGAAAGGACAGCTCTAACGTCAACAAGATGTTTTGTCCCTTCTAGTTTATTAAACCGGTATCTTGAGTTCTATAAAGTGTAGGTTCCCATTTTTTTGTTCTTCACCATATATTTTCACATGTATTTTAAGAAGAAAAATCCTGAGAGTAGGAAGATGGGTCAGTCTGAGAAAACAGCATTTGTTCCTTAACCGTTTTTCTATTCCTAAAGCATTGCCTATCTCATACACAGTTGCCAGTACCTTCTACCTCCTCACGGCGATCAGTAATAAGATGTAGTATAATCTACTCTCGACACCTCTCGGCAATGCAGGCATTTCATTAGCAGGGCTTCCTCAAGACTGCTGGTACTCTTGTGGGAAGGAAAGTCAGTCTTACCTTCTCTGTTTTTTCTCTATTCCCAACCTACAGTTATGCTGCCGGAGACTGGGAAAGTGTCTGTGGATGACTGAGGTCTTTATGTCTTTGTATTTAGACTCCTGATCACTGTTCTCACTGTTCCTAGAAGATCCTTGTTGGTATACTCCCATTAATAGGCTGCAGTTTCTGAATAATTAGATTTTTCCCCCTCAGAAAAAATATGTAGCTTTCTTAAAAGATAAAATCTACAAATTACAGCAAGTTTAATAGTTATTTTTAATGAAATTCCTCTGGTCTGTATTAAAGTAACAGTGGAAGGAGCTGCATAATGAACCCAGCCTGCATAGGTTTTGATTAGATCTCCGAAATGGTAGTTGTTCGTTTTCCTCAGGCAGGTGCTGGAAAGGAGTCAACGTAATTCTGCCCTGTTGCCACAAACTCCTTGTCGACAGTTCCCCTGGGATGAGCCCCCCTTTCTCCTGTCAAAAGCTTACAGTTACACTGACCCATATTTTCAGATGAAGCACCCACATGCAGATGAGTGATGTCGAGGTAGCAACAACTGAATGAAAAGGAGGAGGTGCTGCAGAGGGGTGCCTCATCCTCCAATGTCTGTGTTCACTACAGGAAAATTTTCTGGGAAAAAAGAGCAAGATAAAACCTTCCTGTCTCACCTGCAAGAGCCTCCTTGTAAATATGCGCCAGCCCTCCCAAATACATCCATCTAGTGGACTATGTAAAATCAGAGAACATGCCATAACATTCAGATGCATACACATTTCAAGATAAAGTGCTAGTAGTGGGCTAGGGGATAATGAGTAAATTATTTTTATTTTGGCACTTCAACTTCTGTTTTCCAGATTTTCCTCAAAGTTCATGCTTTTCTTTTTTTTAAACGTTTTTATTAAAAATTAATGAATTAATTAATTTTATTATTCCATGATTCCCCCCTCCCAAATTCTCACCATCCTAATTTACCCCGTGTCATTACAATAGTATAGTCCTTCACAATCAGTTATTCTGCTATTAAATGTGACCTGACATTGTAGGTATGGAGAATGGCAGAGCCCAGCATCCTATTGTCAAGATACATGCAAGAGTTTCATTGGGAATCCATCTTTGATTTGGAAATAGAGATGCACACAGCATTGTATCTTCACATCTGTATGATAGTCTCCACTACATAGTTACTATATGTCCCATTCAATGAAAAGCCATAAAACAAAATCAACAACAGGAAAGGTAATAGAAAATTTATAAAAACCGAAGTTAAATAACATGCTACTTGAATGATCAGTGTGTCACTGAAGAAATGAAAAAAAAAAAAAATCGAAGACTTTCCTGAAGCAAGCAGTGCTATTGTATGAACTATGAGTCAGTGAGAAAATAAGAAAACCAAAAACTTTTTTTTTGAATGGATGAAAATAAAAAATCAACTCCCCTGTGATATAGCAAAAACAGAAATGAAAGGGCTATTGATCCCCTATTTGACATGCTTTTTCTTAATTAGAAACATACTTAAATAAACAGTTCCTTAGGGGCTGGCATTGTGGTACAGTGAGTAAAGCTGCAGCACCAGCACCCCATATGGGCACCCATTCAAGTCCCAGCTGCTCTACTTAAGATGCAGCTCCCTGCCAATGTGCCTGGGAAGGCAGCAAAGGCTGTGCTAGTTACTCGAGCTCCTGCACCCAGATGAGGAACTCATGTGAACCTCTTGGCTGCATCCTGGCCCATCCGGGCTATTGTCACTGGGAAGTGGAACCAGCAGATGGAGTGCATATCTCTAATTTTTTCTCTGTTGTAACTGCTTTTCAAATAAATAGGTCTTTTTTAAAAAGTTCTAATCTGTTTAATATAAAAATAAGGCAGGAACTAACTGTCCAATAGAACTGTCATGGTGGTGAATTTTATTATTGTCTACGATGGATGTTCCTGTAATTTTGAAATTTTTATGCCTATGTGTAGCTTTCTCATTTACAGCTGGCATATTATTAGTCTGTAACTAAACCACCTATTATCATCACATGTCTTAATTATTTTTAAAGACTTTATTTATACAGAGAGAAGAAGAGACAGAGTGATTCTCCATCTGTTGATTCACTCCCCATGTTGCCGCAACAGCCAGAGCTGAGCCAATTCAAAGCCAGGAGCCTCCTCTAGGCCTCCCATCTGGGTGCAGGGTCCCAAGACTTTGGGCCATTCTCTGCTGCTTTCCCAGGGCACAAATAAGGGCTGGATGGAAAGTGGAGCAATTGGATACCAGCACATGCAAGTTGAGGACTTTCGCCACTAGGCTATCATGCTGGGACTCTTTAATCTTTTCTTCAAAATCCATGTTGGTGCCTAGCACACAGTAGGCACTTACTATATAAATATTTGAATAAGGGAGGGGTGCGGGGAATCCCAGTGCCTATAAAACTGTCACATAATGCAATGTAATTAATTAAAAAAAATTTGAATAATGAGTGACTTTTTTTAACATTTTAAGTCATTTTTCTTTTTAGTGCCATTATTTGTCATATTTTCTTTAAAATATCATTTTTGGAGAATGTATATCCTGTAAAATTATGCTGTTTATAAAGCAGAACTACAAAGAAACAGAGGGAGAGTAAGTGCACAAAAGATGGAGTGAGCATGCAAGAGAGCGCTTCCATCTTCTGGTTCACTCCCCTCATAGCCTAAGAGCCCCGGCCTGGCCAGACCAGAGCCAGGAGCCCCATCCTGATCTACACATGGTGGCAGGGGCTCAAGCACTTGGGCTATCATAGCCTGTTTTCCAAGGCACAGTGGCAGGAAGCTGCATGAAAACTGGAGCAGCCAGGACTTGAAGGCACTCCAGCATGGGATGCCAGCATTGCAGAGGGCTGCTTCTCTAGGGAAGATGGGAGATGTGGCCATAATTCCTTCTTCCTTCTCATCACTCAGGGAGCCCAGTTTCTAACAGAACTTGCACCTCTGTGTAAGATTTACTGCTCGGATGGAGAAGAATATACCATATCCAGGTGAGTAACTTGGAGTCATGATTTTAGGAGAAATAAAGATATTATTTTTCCTACATGTAATTCTGTTTTTAATAGTTGTGTGAGAGGACGGTTGATGGAAGTGAATGAAAACATTCTCCACGAGCCATCTATTCTTCAAGAAAAGGTAAAAGAGGAAAAGAATATCATCTCATCCACATATCTTCCATGGGAATTTAAAAGCCACCGTTGAATTGTGATTCATCTGTTTATTTGCAAGGCAGAGAATCAGACAGAAATCTCCCATGCACTGTTTCACATCCCAAATGCTTAGAGGAGCTGGAGCACACCAAGCAGAAGCCATGAGTTAGAAATTCAGACTGGGTTTCCCTTGTGGGTGGCAAGGAGCCAACCACTTCCGCCATCATCCCTCAGATGATGCTAGAATTGCGAGTAGAGCTGGGTCTGCACACAGGCCCACAGGGGTGGGATACAGCCATCCCAAGCAGCATCTGACCTGCTGTGGCAAATATAAAACACATCCATACACGTGTGGGTCTTTTTAAAAAAAAAAAAACATTTGACAGTACTAAATATTATACTTCCTTTCCAGCCATCCACTGAAGGTTACATTGCAGTTGTGTTACCTAAATTTGAAGAAAGTAAAAGTATAACAGAAGGGTTATTGACACAAAAGCAATATGAAGAAGTTGTGGTGAATCGCAGTAATGCCTCAACAGCTACGGCGTGAGGCCTGAGATGGAATCAGGAGCAGCCTAGGATTCTTCGCCTTTCCTGGCCTGAACCGCCAGTGTACTGCAGAAGTGGCAGGCCGTGTGCAGCATCCTTCACCTGCAGCCATCAGCAGGAGAAGCCGAAGCCTTCGCTCAACCTTGTTTTCCCTCTCTTGCTTCACAAGGTTTAGCTCTCAATTGTTCTCAGCCTTACTCTATCCCCTTCTTCCAAGGAAACAGGCAAGGGATGTTTTTCTGATTCATCTCTGTCTCCTTCCCTCTCCCCCACCCTCATATTCACACACACACATTCTCTTTGGGTGAAATTTGCAAAACATAAAAGTTTTAAGTAACCAAGTAAAAATAATTTACTCCATCCTTACAACCTGGAAATAAATACTATATTTTTACATACTTCTGTTTGAAGATTATGGCATGACTTGCTTTTGCTTCAATTTCTGCTGAAGTCACTTCAGTGTGACACCAGGTCCAGCCCCACCCCTTTTGAGGTCATAGGAAGAGGTAAGAGTGCTGAGTGTACTTTTTCTCCTCCTTATACCTATTAAGCAAAGTAGAACAGTGATGTCCTATGCCAGAACACAGTCCTATATTAAAACACAGCTTTCAGGTCCTCTCAAGAACTACAAACACAAGGCAATGGGAAGTTGGGTCTTGGGATCCAGCGTCACTTGGTGACAGGATGAATAGAAAAGTTCTTCAGCAGAGCTCTCACATCATTTAAAAGCAACATACCCATTGATGAATTTATGGCTTAAAACTGGGTACTTATTTACAATGAATTTTAAATAAAGGACACTGAGAAAATTTGCTACTTTTTCTGTAAATATACTTGTATTTAAACATCTTCACTTTTAGTTTCATGGAGAAGAAATCACTCTGAAAACCCTCTTTTCCTGCTGCGGTCAAACACGATCCATCCCCAGCCTAAAACTATTTTCAGTTCACAAACAAACAAGCCTGTGGGTCATGTAAGGTCCACAAAATCATTTGGTCTGGCCCTTGGCAAGGCAACCACAGTGGGACTCAAAATTTAACAAATCTGTAGCAGGCTAATTTTTGAGGTGATAATTTTGTATGGCCAATGAACAATGGCATAAATATTCGAATGGGGCTGGCATTGTAGTGTAGTAACTTAAACCACCACCTGCAGTGCTGGCATCTCACATCCCATATGGGTGCCAGTTCAAGTCCTAGCTGCTGCACTGTGGGACAGCAACAGAGGATGGCTCAAGTGCTTTGGCCCCTGGGCCCATGTGGAGACCCAGATGAAGTTCCCAGCCCCTTGCTTTGACCTGGCCCAAGCTTGGCTCCTACAGCCCTTTGGGAAGTAAAGCAGCAGATGGGAGCTTTTGTGTATATTACATGTAACTTGATATCTCCCATGATTTTTTTTTCAAAGAGAGATTTTGATTTGAAAGACAGTTGCACAGTCAGAAGAGAGACATTCCATCTGTTGATTGTCTCTCCAAATGGTCAAAACTGCCAGAGCTGAACCAATTAGGAGACAGGAGCTTCTTTGAATCTCCTACTTGGGATTAGTTCCCAAAGCTTTGGGCCATTCTCTGCAGCTATCCCAGGCCATAAACAGGGAGTTGGTTGGGAATTGGAGCAGCTGGAAAATGAACCAGCACTCTTAAAGGATGCCTACTCTGCAAATGGAGGCTTAGGCTACTATGCCACAATGCTAGCCAGATCTCCCATGATTTCTAATGTAACATTCGTAAAAATATTTTTGTTTCAGAGAATAAAAAGCATACTTTTTTTTCTGAAGTATGTTACAAAGGGCGTTAACCAAGCTGAGTGTGTTCATTTTCTCCCAGGACTACAGTGAAGGTTTTATTGAAGGGTGGACTTTTTGATGCAGCAAGCATGCTCAGCTGTATCCTGGGATGTCCACACCTCGTCTCTGAGTGCCAGCTGGAGTTCAGGCTGTTCTGCTTCTGATCCAGGTTTCTGCTGAGAGCAGATTATGGCTCAAATAATTTGAATCCACACAGGTGGGAGATCCACACGGCCAGTCTGAGATCCTGGCTTTACCCTGTCCTTTCCGGCTGCTGGACCATTGTGCAGTGGATGCCTCTCTCTCTCCCCTTCTCTCCTCTTCTCTCTGCATATGAGAGGTCTGCCTTTCAAATCTCCTAAAAGAAGATTTTCTTCACCAAGTATTGATAATCCTGTGATTCTTCAGGATCTTCTGTGAATAATGATTGTAATGGCTGAGCCAGAGAAAAATTGCTGGACTCACCTACTTACTGCCATGGGCAAGGACGTGCCCTGTCAGATTTCAAAATAATTTTCAAAGCAAGGAATTCAAACACTATGAAATGACCCCAAACATAGATATCACACAGAGAAAACCTACCAACCAGATCCTCCCATCAAAACCCACCCCAAACACAAGTCTTCAATCCTAATTAAAAAGACTATGTTTGTTTTGCAACATGCATTCCAGAGCCATAATGTAAAAGATGTAATAACTCAGAATCTCTGTCTTCTTTTCCATGCTATCAGCACTGAGAAGGATAGATTGAAACCTATTTTTAAGCCAGCAAAACAGGCTTAGCATTATGGCTAGTATTCGGGGCAGAATGGTCAGCTATGCTAGGACTAGGACCAAAAGGTAGTCGTGTGCTGTTTTCCAAGAATGACTCCAGGATTCTGTGGACTGGGTTCTGTCAGTCCACTTTCAGAGTTTGGGGAAGACAAGCAGCAGAATCGTTAGCCCTTGCTCTGCGAAAAGTATTTTAGACGACAATCTGGCCAACAGCACACCCTGTGACAGAGGGCGCTCTAGAAGGGACTTTGTCATGCTTGGTGGACAGAGGGATGAAGAGGAGTCCACTTGTTAAAAGAAACCACTAGTTTCACCCAGACGATGTCTGTACATTTTTAGCTGAAATCAGGGTTATAGATAAAAAGCTTAAATAAAATAGTTAATGTAAAATATGCCAAGGGTGAGCATATATTCACAACAGCTTCTTTGGACTGAGCTGTCATTAAGATACTTGGGATAGTTGGTTTCACTTTTAAAGAACGGTATTAATGCATTGTCACATTTTAAAATCACACTGCAATTAGAATTCTACCAGGGTGTTTATTCATTGTCAAGGGCTTCACAACCAATTTCATGACCAGAAAATAAAGTAGGATTTCAGTAGTATTTTCTTTATAAACATGCTGAGTTTTTTAAAATATGAAAGTTCATTTGCTTCTTTAAGATGTCAGTTTTGCCACACAAAGTTTCAAAGACTGCATTCCAGAATCTTCTCAGGGTTTGCCATCCACGATGTCTTTACTAGTGACTGAGCCCCATCTGACATTTTCTGTCTGAAGCTGAAAAGAGTTAAGACTATTAATTTCTGCTTTATTCTGAAAAAAAAGTTGCAAAATTTAATAACTATTTTTCTTTAACCATTTCCTTAACTTTTAAAATAAGAGTTTAAGATAGAAAAGCTGCCTCACCTTCTTCATCAGTTTATAGCAAAGTGAAAGAAGTTGAACCGAGAGAGCCATCATGGATCTTGTCTTTGTAATACACTTGTCAACCTAAAGGGACAGAAAGCACGTAAATCATATTCTAAACATGGGCGTTCAAAAAATGTGATTATGCATTTGGATTGAAAATGATAGCATTTCTCCATCGTGGAACGACAAGGCATCAGGAAGGTGTGAGGATGGAGGCCCAGGAGCTGACGCACGGCCCTAGGACACAGGAGCAGGGTCACCCTCAGGGCTCAGGCCTGTTTCCACCCAGGAAGAGTAATGGAAAAGCAACTGTACTACCTCAGTGTTTGCTGCAAACACTGACAGCAAATCCCATACTTTGGCATTCCGTGTACTTTGCATTTGGGCACAAACCCGAATTTAGGCCGGGAGCCCAGCTTCGGAGGCAATTAATGCCCAAGTCCGGCAGGTGATGATACCCGCATGCAGGCGCAGCTGCACAGTGCTCTGGCATGAATCATGTCCCCAAAGCTAATTCATTCAGTGAATGTGTTGTGGGCAGTTACAGTAACAGTTAATATGAGATTCTTGTCAAGACATGAAAACGGGCAAACCCACTGTGCCTGTGCAGGTCCCAAGCCGCTCGCTGTCATACCTTAGGGAGCACTTTGCTCTGCAGTGATGTCTTGATTATGGTCTGAAGTTGCTGGCACAGAGGGATTAGCTTGTTTATTTCCAAGAGCAGCGTAAGTTTGTCATCATCTTTCAGCTGCAATGTAATTTAGGGAGTTACAACAGCCGCAACAACTCTCCATCTGTACCTTAAATGGCTGCAGACCTTAATCCCTGCCCCCATGTTGGGAATTCAGGGTACCACAACAAACACCAAGTGTATGGAACGTGGGTTACCTGTTTTGAGAAAGCTTGGATACTTGAAGTAAACTTTAAACCTTCTGTGGCAAAAACCTGATGGAAAGGGAAAGCATCACTATTTTAGATGATGTCCACAGACTGGTGAGAAATATGCTCACTAATAATTTTACAGTTTTGAACATAATACCTGTACATGAGAGAGATACCCTGGACTCTCAAAGGTTTTGTTGTACCCAGGAGAACACCAGCATTCAACTGCACAACCCCTGGGGAGGCTCCTCCACAGCTGGAGGCATCTGCTACTATTCAGGGACGAGCAGAGCCATGCCACTCAGCTACAAAACCTAGCCCTGGATTGCTGGGGGATTGAGGACTCATCAAATCCAAAAGTAGAAATGGGTGATGGCGATTCACCATGTATCCTGAGAAAACTAGGAGGATGGAGAAGAACTTGGATGGGTAAGATAGGGATCTGTGGAGTATTATGTTAAAATGACACGGAGAGGGGGAGGCATTGTGGCACAGCACGTTAGGATGCTACCTCTGATACTGGCATCACATGTTGAGTCATGGTTGTTCCATTTCCAATCCACCTCCCTACTAAGTACCTGGGAAAGCAGCTGAAGATGGCCCAGTGCTTGAACTCCTGCAACCATGTGGGAGACCCTGAAGAAGCTCTTGGCACCTGGCTTCTGCCTGGCCCAGCCCCAATCATTGTGCATGTTTGGGAAGTGAACCAATGGATGGAAAAATCTCTCTCGGGCCATTTTCTACTGCTTTCCCAAGCTATTAGCAGCTGGGAAAGTGGAACAGCTGGGACTCAAATTGGCACCCATATAAACTGCCAGGACTGCAGGTAGAGGATTAGGATGCTATATCATCAGGCTAGCCCCAAAACTTAGCTTTAGGTTGCACAGAAAACAGAAAAATCTGAGTGATTTGTTAAAAAAAAAGGGGGGGGGAGGTCCTGGTAATAAAGCACATGAAGAATGTTACTAGAATGCTCATCCCTGTGTGTGCCTAATCTCTCTACATTTCCACGTTATTCTGCATATCTTCTCTTGCCATCTAGCCAACATAACCCAATGTGCATCTCACAGAATAGCATGGCTGTAAAACCACCTTCCACGTCTCTCTCTCTAATCCTGAACTATTCTGACACCAGACTTAAAGATCTTACATGACCCTTGCACTTAATATTGATTTTCATTCTCTAAATGTAATGGTTCCCCTCAAGTTTCACAGCTTTTATAAAGCCAGAAATAGTAGTAAGGTTCCCTATCTTAGTCAACATCACTGTCATTTGCCCTTCTGATCAAGCCAGAAATCTTTGAAAACATGCATCAGATCCTACCATTGCCTCTCAAAACTCTCACCAGGTTTACCACCCTGCTTTTAAAAACAACAAAACACCCCACAAAATCCAAGTTCTGCCCATGGCCTAGGTGGCTGTCATATTTGCCAGTTTTCATCTAGCTCACTCCACCCGACTCCCGTTGTGGCTTCATTCTTCAGCTAAAACCAGCCCTCCGCCTACACCTCGGAGCCTTTACATTTGTTCTAAAATACTGCACTCTCTCACTTTATCAATATTACTCAACTCTACCTAAATCATCCACACTGAAGATCTTTCTGTCCTGCAACTTTATCATTTCTTTCTTCTTCTCCTACGTGACTTCATCTCCAAGGATGTGTGTGTGTGCACAGGCGTGTGCGTGCGCTTGCTTTGTCTGCCTCCTTCCACTAGAATGTATGCTCTATGGGGACAGGAGGTTTTCCTTGCTCACTTTTCTCCAACAGCCCTTATCACTACGGTCTGACAGAATGCAGGCTCAGGAAACAACTGAATGAAGAATGTCATCTGATATTAATCTCATTCTAGAGATAGACCCACATTAAGAAAGGAAATAATTGATCTTTTCTAGTAAAGCATCCCCTACAATGTAATATGACTCAAAATGAATTTAGAATTTATTCCAACTCCTTTATGGAAAATATATCATACACTTACACTCTCTGCAGCAAAACCCAGAAGAAATATTATGTATAATCCTTTTAACTATGTAGACAACCATATCCTTAGGCTGAAATCCCTTTCCCGAAGATGTTCAGTTGGACACACATGGGAACACCAAGAAAATAGAGAGTAGAGTGATAAAGTGCAAGAAATTTTAAATGCAGGAACATACTTGGTTCTACAGAGGAAAAACATGGTAAACTGGGGATAATCAAAATCAGTAAAGGAGTTCTGCAAGGCAGCTGCTAACCTGAAGCCTCTCGTGAGAGGCAGGCCTATGGAAGAAAAGCAAATGGAAGAAAAGCAAAGTAGAATGTAGTGAAGACTCTTTAGTGGTCACAGAGCTAAGAGGGCTACATTCACACGTGTCACCTTAATTAGTATCATTCAGCTACTTCCGCAACGTAGAGGTCAGAATGTCTTTCAAGAACACTAGAAAGTATTAGAGATTTTCATCTGTTTAACGGAATAATTTCATCCACATTAGAAAACCTAAAACTTCTCAAATCTATTGACTATCAACAAAGTCCTTTCTACTCTATTATGATGTATGTTTCTTTACAATAAAATAGTTTTTAGCTATCTCAGAAATGGTAGTACAAGCCCTTTCTCTAGTTTTCTATCAGTCTCTATAGTAGACAGATATATTCATACAGACACAGGATATAATAAATCATTTAGAAAAACAGTTATTATCTATTTTTCATAAAGAATTAATTCGGTAACATACAATGGAAACAAAACATACCTCTAGTTGATGTATTAAATCCTGGGAAGTTTTCAGTGGCCCTTCTCCTCTAAAATAAAATGAATCAATATGAATTATTATTTCAGAGTTGCTCTTGTAATATTAGTTTTTAGAGTATTTTATGTATTAGCAGATCTCAAAAATGGAGCAATGATACAAGCTGACTAGTAATATTGTGCATTTATCCTTGAAGGAATTCTAAAATTTAGAACTGCTATTTCTTAGGCTACTTTTTTCTCCCAAGTAACAGAGTTTATGTTTACCTTATAAGCTAGAAAACTTTCAAGTTGACATGTCATGTGTAGCTTCTATTTATACTTGTTAATCTTTTCCAATTTCCTGTATAAGTTACATATATGAGAGCTGATAGTATCTCTTAAATAAAAGGCCTATGTTATATAATGAAGAGGATCCAACTAAAAGGACATTCTCACTTTTAACTCTAATGTCAAAGCTGGCAGACTCTTGGATGTCTAGCCTTAATGAGGTACATGATCTACGTGTATGAAATGATCATAGCAGTGTCTGTGTTACAACTCAGTAGAAGATCCAAGAATACTGAACTAAAAACTTCCAAAAAGAATTAAAAACAGTAAAAATGAATAGCAAATGACAACAGAGGATAAAGTTAAGAAGAGTAGTGAACTCGGCCCGGCGCAATAGTCTAGCAGCTAATTCCTCGCCTTGTATGTGCCAGCATCCCTTATGGGCACTGGTTTGTATCCCAGCTGCTCCACTTCCCATCCAGCTCGCTACTTATGGCCTGGGAAAACAGTAGAGGATGGCCCAATCCCTTGGGACTGTCTTCCCACATGGGAGACCTGGAAGAGGCTCCTGGATCCTGGCTCAAATCCACTCAGCTCCAGCCAGTTGGGGGTGAAACAGTGGATGGAAGATCTTTCTTATTGTCTCTCTTCTCTGTGCACCTAACTTGCCAATAAAAATAAATAAATCTTTTTTAAAAACCTAATGAAACGTATAACTAAAACCTTTTTAATAGAAAGGAAGAAATCTACTGATGAGACATTTGGGTAGATTGGTTTATAGATATTATCTCTGGATTTTGTTACCCAAAAACTTCTTTAAAGCGTGATTTTTCTCCATTTATGAAATGACTAGCATGATCCCAGCCAAAATTTGGGCATTTTGTTGTTTCAGTTAATCTTGTAGGTAGACATAGGCCTTCCACTTTATAATCTCTTGCAGCCTTGAGCTATGAGATCTTCAAAAGATATGATCTAAGAATCCCTTGGGCCAAAATTCATGCTGGGAAGACCTGACTGCAGGAAAAAGTCTGAGAAATGAAGGTGGAAACTATCAAAGAGGGAGGGCCTCCAATGATGGAAAACACCATAAGGCGTTACTACAACAGGTACTAGCAGCAAAATTACTCACTGCCGCCATTTCCCTCCGGATGAGCAAGCCACCTGGAACAGGGCGGAGACTCCCGGCCAGGGAATATCCCTTCCTTTCTCCTAACCATCCTAGCAGCTGAGGGGACCTCTGCAGCACTTCTGTTTGCTCTTCACTGACTCCACGCCACAGCAGGGGGCAGACGCTAGTCTTCTCAATCTCTGAAAAGGAACTGGACACAGAAATCCCTTCTTTTCTCCTCTTGAAGATGAAATCTCCTCTGAGTGATAACTGCTTTCAGTTGCTTTTTTGAGATACATTCTGCCCCTAAGGGGACAGGACTTCTTACTCCTAAGGATCATTTTTAAAACTTGCTTGCCTGGGCCGGGTGCATTAACCTAGTGGCTGAAGTCCTCACCTAGCACACATCGGCATCCCATATGGGTGCCAGTTCTAGTCCCGATGGTCCCCATGCTTTCCATCCAGCTCCCTGCTTGCGGCCAGGGAAAGTGGTTGAGGACGGCCCAAAGCCTTGGGATCTTGCAACTGTGTGGGAGACCATGAGGAAGCTCCAGGCTCCTGGCTTCGGATCAGCTCAGCTCTGGCCATTGTGGCCACCTGGGGAGTGAATCAGTGGACAAAAGATCTTCCTCTCTCTCTCCTCCTCCTCTCTGTATATCTGACTTTCCAATAAAAATAAATAAATCTTAAATTAAAAAAAAAAACCTACTTGCCTGTGAATTTGAAGTAAATTCTAACAAAATCAGCTTTATTTATATAAATATTACTGACTCCCATCATTTTGGGTTTTTGTTGTTTGTTTTGGTTCTAAATTTTTTGCTTTTCATTTTGTTCAGAACAGGTACTCTCAAATGGCCCCCAAGACCCCTGCTTGCAAAGACCCTATCTACTTGCCCTAATCTTCAATTTCCAGACCCAATTGGTCCACCTTCTGGAATATTCATATGACAGCTTACATAGACGACCTGCTACTGAGAATCTTTCTTCATTTCTGAAAGCAAGATGAGGTCAGGGGCCACCTGTCGGACACCAAATACTGAAAACCAGAAGATATCTAGTATCTTTCAGATTTCTAAAAGTGAAGGAAAAAAAACAGATCTCAGAAACAGAGTGAAAATTTGGAAGTTATTCCCTGAGGAAGTTCTAGAACAGCTTGTTGAACACATAACTGATTTTAGTTAAGTGGAATTTCTATACTGCATGTGTAGATTGCCACAAAGGAAGACACTGCAGTAAGATCAACAGTGACTTCAATGTGGCATCTGATCACCAGTCTTGTAAAATGGACAAAACAGAGACTATAGGCCAGGCTATACAATGCATACGAGACTGGCAACCAACAGAGGCAGGCTCATAGCTCTGTTGTTTGATCTAATGTAATCAATCACTTATATAAAAATACAAACGATGTGCTGGCCGGGAACGACACTGACATGCAGGTTCACAATAATCAGGACGTAAAATATTATCTTAAAAATATGACAGAAATGGGACAAAAATTAAATGGATGGATCTTCCTGCTGCACTCACTTAAGTAAACTGCCATAATAACTGTGTTTACCATGAATTTGATGCCAACTCCAACTTCTCAATGAATTCACTTGGCACTTTTCCTTGATATCAGATATTGTTAAACTCATTTCAAAAACCCAAAATGGGGCCCGGCGCGGTGGCACAAGTGGTTAAGGTCCTCGCCTTGCACACCCCGGGATCCCATATGGGCGCCGGTTCTAATCCCGGCAGCCCTGCTTCCCTTCCAGCTCCCTGCCTGTGGCCTGGGAAAGCAGTCGAGGACAGCCCAAAGCTTTGGGACCCTGCACCCGTGTGGGAGACCCAGAAGAGGCTCCTGGCTTTGGATCAGCATAGTATCGGCTGTTGCGCTCACTTGGGGAGTGAATCATCAGGACGGAAGATCTTCCTCTCTGTCTCTCCTCTCTGTATATCCACCTTTCCAATAAAAATAAATTTTTTAAAAAAAAAACTCAAAATGAAGCCATACTCACCTAGTAAACAAATAAAGAGAATAGGCAATCCTGGACATGTTGCGTCCGTGCCGAACAATGTCATTCTCCCGATCTGCCCACTTCTCAATTTCACAGTCGGCGTCGGAGGAGAGCAACCCGAGCTTCAGTCCAAGCCGTGCTACCCTGGCTTGCTCCTACAAAACCCACGTTGTAATCACGACACCTCTGTTGTTACTGGCATAAGGGAAAACTAGAGGTAAGACTTTGACGGAGGAAAAGGTCTTACCTCAGAGTCAGGCTTGTCCGTCTTCAGGGGTTTGAGATTTGCATTATTCTTCTGTGACAACAAAAAGATGCAGTTATCTTAAAAAGTGGTATGTTTAAATGTGAAGAAATACAGCAGCTATAGGAAGCACACACACAATAGCTGAAATACAGTCTAACTTCAACATATTCAATATGCAACTATATTATGTAATTTAAATTAAAGCAACCAGCTGCACACACTGCCCCAGGAGGAGAGTTCAACTTTGGAGCAGTGACGGGTTGGAGCTCTGGAGCCTCCCCCAGTGGCCCCTGCAGCTACCGCTGCTCTAGACTTCACACAAGGTCTCCAGGGCTTTCAGAATCCTTCTGCAGCACTCTAGAATCCCGGGCCTATGTTCCTCAAACCTTCCTGACCTTCCGATGGTGACATGGTTACTATAATGGTGAAACTGTCCTTATGAAATAATGTATTTAAGCCAACCACTGCATGCCATGCCTCTCTTGACATTCTGATTCTAAGATTCAGACTCTTGAAGGTGAAATCTCAACACCCTAGTTGCACTGACATTCCAACTGCTAATTTCACATGCCGGGTTGTAAGGAGATCATACTTCAAATTCAGGATATAATATATAAGTCAGTGTGTCATGGTTTCTATTTTTGAAAGAACAAGTTTGGGGCCCGGCGCGGTGGCACAAGTGGTTAAAGGTCCTCGCCTTGCACGCCCGGGATCCCATATGGGCGCCGGTTCTAATCCCGGCAGCCCCGCTTCCCTTCCAGCTCCCTGCCTGTGGCCTGGGAAAGCAGTCGAGGACAGCCCAAGGCTTTGGGAACCTGCACCCGCGTGGGAGACCCGGAAGAGGCTCCTGGCTTCGGATCGGCATAGTATCGGCCCGTTGCGCTCACTTGGGGAGTGAATCATCGGACGGAAGACCTTCCTCTCTGTCTCTCCTCTCTGTATATCTGCCTTTCCAATGAAAAAATAATAAAAATAAATCTTTAAAAAAAAAAGAAAGAACAAGTTTGTTTTTATATAAACTAGTTGAAACTCAGAAAGTGTCTCTCCTAGAAGGGGAAAATAATGTCCTGTCTCAGTTAGGTCTCTAGATGCCCATTTACTTAAAGAATTGAGTACCAACACAGATTACAACACCACCCACAGAAATGTGCCTTTGGAAACTATATTTTTCTGGAGAGGATAGACCCCATTGGTGGAGTAAGAATTCCAAAAATTGCCAGCGTTAGAAAAGAAATGGAAACTAACAGGTGCAGAGAGCTATGTTTTCCACTGAAAATATAAATTATAGAAATACACACTGGGTACACAGGCACATATATGCACACAGGTGCAATAAATTATAATAAAACAATATACATGTGACTATATAACAGAAAGATCGAGCACACTCTGCACTACTGTTTTGTTTCCCTTTTTATCCTGACTTCTTACTTCTGAACAGCTATTCTGTCACCAGTTCCACAAAACAGCTACAATTTCCCCCTTTTCCTCTCCCACAGGATTAAATGCTCACTGATCACGGCACTTCAGTGATCTTGCAGTGATGCATACTACTGAAGACACAGGTGAAGTTAAAGAACAGAAAGTGGATAAAGAGGATACAAAGCGAATATGCAGTTACACGTGCACACACACACAAACAGGTTCACAAGAACACTTCCATGTTTGCTAGAAATGTATAGAGATGGTCAGTGATCCCTCTGGATCCTCCTTGGAGAAGCGCATCATCTTTATCTCCTCCCTTGGTCTAGCAGACAACAAAGCAATTGATAAAGCATGTATGAAAGTTGAGAACAGTCCTGAGGTAAATAAACCACTTGATAACATAACCAAGCTTGCCATCTAGTGGACTCTGCTTGATAAGTAGTCAGATACATCAGTTTCAGTCATGAAAAGCTCAAGACTCGGAAATAACATTAGCTTAAATTTTTGCTTTCTAAAGAAGAGAGCTACAGTTTTCTCAGGATACAGTTAGCTGTGCTATCTATCCAGCTGAGAGAATGGTTCATGATTCTAAAATGATGTTACTGAATGAAAGCTCTATTCAGCTCAGTATCATGTTTGTTCAATTTGACCTTCTAAAAGTCCCTTTGTGTCCTCTCCAATCTGTGATACTTGTTCTGTGGTAGCCCTAAGTCACAATATGTACAAGAACAGCTCATCTGTCCTTACTTGTTTAATCCCAGTGGGTTGTGATCTATATGACCAGCTTTTAAGTTGAAAATTAAAAAGTTTCTACCCATACTGTCAAATTGCTCTAAACATAGCTAACAGCATAGAAATTATTTCCAAAAAGGCTACAGAATTAGTCTGCAACGTCATGACTGCTCTCTCACTAGCCACTTGCAGTCCCTTATCGATGTGTTTCAGTATAAGGCTTTCTTCAAACCACATCAACTATATGCCCCTCTGTTCTTTCCCTAAACCATCGACCCTTCCCAGTGTCATTTCGCCCAGATTTAAGAGTTTTATTTTCTATCTCTTGATTGTATGTTCTGTCCTGTAATAATCCCTATCTGATATTTACCACTCTGGTACTAAAAATTATCATTTTTTTCCCTCTCTACACATCTTCTTTCCGTACCAGTTCAAAGTTGTAATGCCCAACATAGTAGCCACTAGCTACACATTGATACTGAATATATGACCTTTTTTATGTGATTTAGCAACTGGGTATAATATACTAATATTTTTATTTTTCTCATTTACCATCAGGATTACTTCATCCTGAGAAATTACTTCTACACAGCTCATTATTTTCCCCTACTTTTGAAGTTAGAGTTACTATGATATTTGGTGGCTCTAGAAGAGTGGTCCTTGTTGATAACTGATTCTCTTTTCTACCACTATTTCTGCTTTCCATATTCTACATTTTATTCAAAACTACAAATTCCCATAAAACCATCTCTACAAACGAGTTGTTAAGGTCATCAAAATGTCACCTGGGAAACATGAATAATATTAAAATGCAATCAGCAACAAGATGAGAATTTCCCTTCCCCAGAGGGGCCTTAGAACAACTGCTCAGTTAAATGACACTTTCCCTGACCTTTCCATATACCTGATACATTTACCTCTGTACAGAAAACATCAAAGTTCTCAGTGCCAAGAATGATTCTGATGTAACCATGCAAACTAGACCCAAGATAAGGAGAACAAATCCTCTGACTTACACTAGAACTACTTATTTGTCACAAATTTTCTTATCTGCTTTCTCATACCTCTAAATCCAACACAAATGGAAACAAAATGAGCTTTATCAAGACTGATATTCAAAATAACAACTCTGAATGGCCAACACTTCTTATCCTAGTTAATCTTTCCATAATATCAAAGGTTTGTATTTAGGGAGATGGTGTACAGAATAACAGGCATCAGTAGCATAATCTAAATCTCTAGCCTATGGATTTCATAGCAAAGGACTTTGGTTTGATACCCAGCTCCAGCCCCCAACTTTTTGCTAAGGTAGCCCCCAGTGGGCAGCAGTGAGCTCTCGGGTAGCTGGGTTCCTGCCATCCATATGGGAGACCCAGATGGAGTTTCCAACTCTCAGCTTCAGCCCAGTCTCAGCTAGTGAGGGGACTTGGGGAGTGAACAGGCCAAGCAGAACAAGCACTCTGTTTCTCTTATCCTCTGCCTTTCTACCTTTGAAATGACTTTTTAAAGACTGAAATGTGGGCCCAGCTCAATTACTCAATGGCTAAATCTTCACCTTGGATGGCCCAAAGCCTTGAACCCTGCACCCATGTGGGAGACATGGAAAAAGCTCCGGGTCCTGGCTTTGGATGGGCTAAGCTCCGGCTATAGTGGCCACTTGGGGAGTGAACCAGCCAATGGAAGATCTTTCTCTCTGTCTCTTGTCTCCATAAATCATTTGCCTTTCCAATAAAAATAAATAAATCTTAAAAAAACAAAGAAAAAAAAGGGAAAACTCTGATATGCATGTAATTTTCTACTTACCGTTGTCTTTGGAAGTGAAAGGTAGCCATACTTCTCTCCTACAAATAACACACGTAACTTAAACATTTTTTCCATAAATATATTTTCTGCTATTCACATTTAACCTAGACAATTTTCAAATAACTAGAACTGTTATTATGTTAGTTTTGATAATTTAGTCTATTAATTATAAGTGATTTAGAAATAAACTTGTTGGGAATGTGGCATGATGGCTCAACGGACTAACCCTCCCATTACATGCTCTGGGATCCCATCTGGGCATTCGTTTAGGTTGTAGCTGTTCTACTTCCCATCCAGTTTCCTGCTTATAGCTTAAGAAAGCAGCAGAAAGCGGCCCAAAGCCTTGGGACTCTGCACCCACTGGGAGAACCAGAGGTGGCTCTTGGCTCCTGGCACCCGATCAGCTCAGCTCTGGCCACTGTAGCCATTTGGGAAGTAGATTAGCAGGTAGAAGATCTTTCTCTCTGTCTCTCCTCTCTGTCTTTTAAAAAGAGAAGAAATAAACTTGTGCTTTGGCTGGTGACTATGGAAACCATCAATAGCTGCATCCCTAAGTCACCCATGATGAGCAGTCTCCACCTGTGTGAAGGTTCAGCAAGAAGACAGCACCTTGCAGGTGTTAGCTTGCACTGACAGGCTCATTTACAGTGGACTCCTTACACAGCAGCCTGCCTCTTCTGAATGTAGAGCCCGCTACAGTGTTCCAAACCAAGCCACTTATAACTAACCTCAGAATGCATTCCCTTACTCAGGGAAGGAGACAGCCCCCATGTATGAGCAAGGAAGACAAAATAAGGCAAATCACAGTGCGTGGGCATGTAGCCCAACCCATGGCAGGAAGCACAGTAAGTGAGGGAGGAGAACGATGTGCAATGCCCACTTCATCCTGTGCTGGCTGCAATCTTCTCACTCTCACATTATACAAACAGTCAGGGCACAAAGGGTGAAATACTATTTTTAAAACTGGTTCATGATATCTGTGATAAAAAAAATCAAGACAAGATTTGAACAATTGCTTCTTCAAAGAAAACAAGTGTTTCTAGTTAAAACAGGTATGATGTTACTAATATTCAGTCACATCACATAAACATCAAATTCATAAAGTTCCACATAATAAAAAAAAGAGCACTGAATCATGCCTTTTCTCACTGGATGACTATTCAGTGTGCATTTGTTAGGTGGTTTACACAAATATTTAAAATTTCATATGCAACTCCACTATTGAATCTAGAATTCACCAGTTACAAGTGACCACTGTGCATGTAAAAGGTAGCTAGTTTGAGTGGGCATTGTGGCATAGCGGGTTAAGCCTAAAAGCGCTGGTTCAAACCTCACTACTACACATCCAACCCAGGACATGCCAGAGAAACACAGGGCCACTTGGTGGCACTCTTCTGACCCTCCTATTTTCAGAAGCTGATGACACCCATGTTTTAAAAGAAAAACAAAAAGAAATGAAAAAGAGAATATTTCTCTGGCCTTGAAATAGAGGCAGACAGAAAGGAGACACAGAGAGGTTTTCATTCTGAGCGCAGAAGAGCTTTAGGCAAAGTTCACGGAAGTGGAGAGTGGCCGGAGCCCCAGAGATCACTCAGCCCGAGGTTTTCGTTACTGAGTGGAGGACAGTCAAGCCCAGAGTGGGGAAGGGCCTATCCTGCCAGCTGTTAGAGACAGAGCTGAGCCTGGCAGGTGCTTCAGCCCCATGAGGTCAAGGGTCCTTTCGGCACCCCCCGCCTTTCTCTTCATCACCTGACTACCCCTACAGCTGAGAGCACATTCTTCCTTAAGCATGGATCAATCATATCACTTTACTTTTTCATGCATACATGAAACTGGCCTCCTGTAAAAACCTATGAAACTTGGTCAGAGCATGAAAATGACGTCCCATTCAAAGTAGTTACTTCAGAAAATTTTAAATGCAGGAGCATTTATTATGCTTTACAAATGACATTACAGCTACAAAATCTAACATCCCCTGCATCGCAAGCAAATGAACATTTATTCCAAGTGGGCGTTTTAAAAACAGAAAATGTTCCCAATGTTCATAATCAGTAAAATAAATGTGTCATTTGATATTATGGTTTTAAATGATATTTGAGTTTTTTAAGAAGCATGCTTTAACACTAACAGAAACCATTTGAAAGGAGAAAACACATAAAAACATATGAACATAAATAAAAAGGCATACAGAGTATTGGTAAATAAACAAAACTCCCAGCTGAAATTAAAGAATAAAAATGCCTTCCTCTACAGCGTATCATCTACTCTACGTGTTGGGGATACACCAATGAACTTACCCACCACGGGCAACATTCCAAGTTTATGTGGTCAGCAAGGAAAGGTTCCATCCAAGCGGAAGGAAAGCAATTCAAAAATCAAATAACTACATTCATTTCATGACGAAATTAGTAGAATTAAATCTATTACACAATAGTTATTGTACTAAAACTTAAAAAACACTTTAGAAGACATAAAAATGACCTCAACTCGATAGGAAAATTGAGTATGCTGATATTAATTCAGAGAAATCATTTGCACTGTTACATGACAAATTTTATTGCTTGTGTGCCGAAATGAAAGATAAATACTATTTGACTGATTTTTCTAATGAAGATATGTTACTATAAAAAAAAAGTTGAGCTTTAACAAGATACTTTTGTATCTGAGGTATGACATTAAAATAGCAACATGAAAAATCACAAGATATTTCAACATATGAATATCTTCAACATATGAAATACATTCTCACCTCGTCTTCCTTCAAACACGTCAGTAATTTCTCGTAGTAGTGTGGACATGTCACTGATTTGAGATTCCCAAGCTTCACAAAATACATCTAAGTTTTCTTTAGCAATTTTGCTAGATGGATGCAAGGTCAATGTCTCAGCAGCTGAAATGATCTAAGGAAACAAAAGACGCATGTGTAACCCCTGAGACTCACTCAATGACTATGAGACAATTTCCGTACAAAAGCTCCATGTTGGGCAATTCAGAGAGCTGTGGTAAAGGCAATAACAAATCCCACCTGTCTGTCTTACAATGTGATCTAGAGATAAATAGTACATTTCATTATATACAAACCTGCATTAGGGAGCAATTATTTTTATTCAACAAACATGTCTATGACATAATTCAAAGCATCACTTCTAAAAAGATTTATGTTTTAGTTGAAAGATTTAGGGAGAAAGAGAGAGGGGAGAGATAGAGAGACAAGAGAGCTCTTCTACCTGTTGATTCACTCCCCAAATGGCCACAATGGTCAGGTCAAAGCCAGGAGCCAGAGGCTTGATCTGGCTCTCCCACAGAGTGACAGGGTTCCAAGCAGTTTGGCCATTTTCCGCTCCCTTCCCAGGGGCATTAGCAGAGAGCTGGAGTATCATTTAACATACATATAGAGGAGGCCAGTATCATGGCATAAGATGCTATGCCTCCCACCCTCTTCAGTACTGGCACCCCATACAGGTGCTGGTTCATGTCCCACCTGCTGTTTCCCTCCAGGTCCACGTTCATGGCCTGGGGAAGCAGTAGAAAATGGCCCAAGTTCTTGGGCTCCTGCACCCATGCAGCAGATCCAGAAAAAACTCCTGGGTCCTGGTTTTAGATCAGCCTAGCTTGGGCCATTTGGGAAGTGAACCAGCACATGAAAGATATCTATCTCTTGCTCTCTCTTTTTCTCTCTCTCTCTCTGTCGCTCCTTTTCTCTGCAACTCTTTAAAATAATAATAACGATAATAATAATAATAAAGGAGCCAGGCATTTGGTAAACTGCCTATAAAGCCAACCTCATCCAAAAATGCAATATCTGGGTTTGATTTCCAAGTTCAGGTCCCAATTTCTGTTAATGTGCACCCTAGGAGGCAATGGTGACAAGTCAACCTGTTGGTTTTTTCCACCACACATGTGGGAGAATAGGAATGAGTTATCAAGTTCTAGTTTGGGCTCTCCAACACCACAGCCTTTGGGGAATGAACTAGCAAATAAGAGCAGTGTATAATATATCTGTCTCTATACATACTTGTCTCTTAAAATAAATCAATTATAAGTAGCTATAAACTAAGGTGTTTGCTGCATGAGCCACTTTCCAGGGCATCAGATGAGCAGATAATCTCATGCTCCAGCTCATTAACAAGGAAATTTCCATCACCTTCCAGTTACACAGAACCAGTTCTGCTTCTCTTGCTCACAATTTGTTGGGACACTCAAAGAAGAGATAATAGAGAAGGAACATCTGCTGTGATCCTACCTGTTGACCAGTCACCTGGAATGTCTCTTCTGCGTGTATACAGGTTATTTCAAGAGGTTCTGTTCCAGACACGTGTCGCAGCAATCGACAGGTCTATGAGAAAACACGTGTAGAATTGAACTTTCACATTTCGCATCCTTCACAGTACACAGTATTATTTTACGAACTAAAAGGATATAACATGTTATAAATGAAGTTTATTGAGGCCTGTGAAATCAAAATTGCACATTACTGAGAAGTTATTATAATACTGAATGATCACTGGCACATCTCTACATACAGCTTACTGTTTCTACTTGTACTTCATCATGGGAAAGTGATGACGGAACACTTGAACTAGGAAATCTCTAAGGGTCCAGTAATGCCAACACACTTTATGTATGAAAAAATTTAGAGTTACTTATCCAAAGAGTTACAGTTAATGGTATCTGAACTAATCTTCAGGCTATATATTCTTTCGACAAACCAACAATACTACTTCCACTTATGACAAATTAATTAAGCACTTCTTTTGTTGGAGACAACATTGGCTTAAGCAGACTGGTAAAATGCATAAAGAGTCTTGTCAGAGAAAATGGCTTTTAAGAGATCATTAGGGGGAAAAAAACCCTGCTCATTGTGATGAAGATTTGCAAAAGGATTTCTAAAATTGGCAAGACTCCCTACAACGGCAGTATAAGGTTTATAAACATAATGGCTACAAGAGATCTCATACATACAAGACACATAGGGGTTAAGCGAAGAGTCTCTTGTTTCATGTTTTTTTTTTTTTCTTAAAACTACCAGAAGCCTGACATTTTCAACAGGAAGAAGATTCAGAATATCAACCAATAGGTTAATAGGCCAAATTGCAATTATAAAGTAACAGGAAAAACTCAGAGGGAACTAGTGGGCTGGATGTTTTTTTTTTTTTGTCTTATTTGTTCTCCTCTGTGCTCAAATCCGCCTTTTGCTCTGGGAGACTGACCCATATTGTCTACTCCCAGTCACTTCTGATGCAGGGTCACCCTGGGCTGGACACATGCCTAGTCCTAAAATCATAACTTGCCAAGGTGGTTCTCTGAATGGCTTCCAAGTTTCACCCTGCCCCAGTGATACGGGCTGGTGGGGAATGGCTCTGTTATCACTGTCCCCAGCTACTCTTGACTCCTCACTGGTTCAGTGGGCCATCTCTTTCCTGCTGAGACTGACAGTTTCAAACTCAATCTACTCCACACATAATACCTCCATTACTGTAGTCGAAGGTCTCATGTTGGAGTGCTTAAGGAAGAGAATAGGAAATACCTTTGTAGATTCTAGCAATATTTCATTATGTTTTGCCTGGAAGCCAGACTCCTCTAAGAACAGAACAGACATACACTATACCTTGAAGATTGCAAACAGGAGAAAAGGCTCATGGTAAAGTTAATCAAAAACTCGTATTAATATTCCCTCACAAAACTGCCATTTCTTCAAGCAGCCAAACGGATCACTCACCTCAACAAGCTGCTCTTTCTGTTCAGAGAGTTTACAGGCATATTCAGCCAGAGCATCCAAGTTTCCTTCTAGTCCAGTCAGTCTTAATGCTTTCAGAACCACAGGGTCGGCATGGTATTTTAAGAGATCTGAGGCCAGCTGTGTCGCTGTACTGTGAAGCTGCAGATGTGGTGGGCGAACAGCGGTGGAGGAAAGAAAACAAACAAGGTTTTGTGGCTGAGCCTCTCATGTGCACTTCAGAAGCTGAGGAGTAAAACCCTTCAAACAGTCCATCTTGAGCTGTGGGGGGACCCTGCAAAGATGCCTCTGTGTGTGTGTGTGTGTGTGGTGCTGTGGAACTTGCCAGCCCTCTCAGGGCCTGAGTGGTTCCACAATCAACTCACAATCTGTTAGTACAGTACTGCTGTTGGTAGGAAATGAAATGGCCACCCAGGAAGGGCTTAAATAGCCAGGTTCTTTTTTTTTCACCCCACTATCAACCAGTTCTTTCCCATATAGCTTCTCTCTTAGTAAAAAAAAAAAAAAAATGCTCCTGCTTCTCTTACACTTGGTGAGGAATAGAGCAGCTATCAACAATTTTGTCATCTTACTACTAAAAGAAAAATAAAATGGCAGTCCATGACTATTAAATAACTTTTTTTCGGTATATTTTGAATAGCATCCATCTGAGCCTCAGGAAATTACTCAAGAAAATGTTAAATACTTGTATCATGACAGACCACATACAAGTGGCTGGGCAGACATGACAATTGGAACTAATTCCTGTCCTCCACAGGGTTTTACTGCATATCCGTACCTACTATTCAAAATGTGACTACCTAATTCAATGGACAATCGTTCCAGGAGAAACATCGGAAAGGGGCTAGCAGAAACCCCGGAGATTTATTTGTTTGACTGCAGGGGACACATCAGTGGACACTATCAACTCCAAAAAGCTTTTCTTCTTCTGCCTCTTTTTCTTTTTTTAAGTATGTGACAGTATGCAGGCTCTTTTGAGGCTGTCTGGGGAAAAAAAAAACTATTTTTAATAACATTGCTATAAGATAAATCTAACTTTGAATTAGGCACATTTGGAAAGAGTCATTTCTCCTTTCCAGGAAGTAATCCAATGTCAATTGAAACAACAGAATTTGGATAAAATAAATAGGGTCACCTGCAATCATGCAACCAGATGAGAACTGCGGTCACAACGCCATCAAAATTCACATTCCTCTGGAAAATGCACGCCACAGAAGAATTTTAAGAGACTTTTGTTTATGCAGAATAGTCTCAGAGAATAAAGGCAGCCCTTTACTTCACGCACCATAGAAACTGAGTGACTTGCCATGGTCACTAACTCTTACAAATTATTTGGGGGCCAAATCATGAACCATTCATAAGGGAGGCACAAAGAACAAACATGAAGTTCCTGCTCTGAGCAACTTCCTAATAGGACGGACCTTTATTCACATCACCTCCCTAATCCACACAAGGATCCTTCAAGGTGTGGCCATTTAGCCTCAGAGGTTAAAAACCCATCAGGAAGCCCACCTCTACTGTCAGGGAACCTGGATTTGATTACGAATAAGGTGGCCATGAACATCCACCTGTAGCTCTGAGAATGACAGCACTAACAAAATGCTGGCTTCAAATACAACTTTTCAAAGAATTTCTAAGGAAAACTTTTAGAACCATCTTTTGGGGGGACAGGAACTATACTAATGCATTTCATACAAATCACATCACATAGAATTAGCAAAGAACTACAATTGGGAAATATAAAATTATACTTACTTCTTTCTTAAGTTCATTGAGACTGTGACTGATTTTCAAAGTAGATAATTCTAGTTCCTCAGCAATGCTTTTTGTTTTCATGCTTTGCTGAAAATTTTTAAAAGTATATACAACATTATTTCCCATTTCTAAACCATTAATTCCAATTTTGTCTGAACTATAAATTAAACTTTAATATCACTCTGAAAATAGAATTTTAGTTACTTTAATCTTTACATATAAACATATGACATTTTAAAACCAATTTTTCTTTAGTAAATTCATCAGTTCTAAAGCTAATTCTTAATTTTCTGCTTAGAAAGTCTAGCTCTTTGTTTTTTCTTTTACATTTGCTTATTTGTTTACTTTTGTTTTCTTTATAAGGCAGAGAAAGAGCGAAAGGGGTAGGCAAGACTGTGGTACAGTGAGTTACACAAACCACCGGTGGAGTACTGGGTGCTTCCTGTCCCAGTACCTCTGCTTCCAGTTCAGTTCCTTGCTAATGTCCCTGGGAAAGCAGCAAAAAGATAGTCCAATTCCTGGGCTCCTACCACCTGCATGCAAAAACCAGATGCAGTTCCAGGATCTGGCTGAAGCCTACCCTAGCCCTGACTACTGTGGCCAGTTGGGGAGTGAACAAGCAAATGGATCCTCCAACTAGCCCTGTTCATCTGGGTCTCAAATAAATAATCTGAGACACAAACACACGGAAATAGAGACAGATCTTTCATCCAATGATTTACTCCTCAAATCTTCAAATACCCCCACATGGGGGGCACAGACCCAAGTTGTTGAGACATCATCCACTGCCTCACAGTACACAGAGAATCCAGGACTCGGAGGCAAAGTATCCCAATACACGAGTGATGTCTCACGTGGCTCCTTAACTAGCTGTAACATCCATCTCATCTCATCACTCTTCAGCTAATTAAAATTGAAATCAGTACAGATAACCACATCAGAAGTGAAGCCAGGATCCGAAATCAGATATTCTAATAAAAAATGTGCACATTTCTGTCATCAGTTTAACTTGCTGTACCACATATCCATCCTGTCTCTCCAAACTTTTTCTAGTTAAAATTAAAATTGTATTCATCTTTAAGAAACTACACAAAAATTTTCCTTAAATCACCCAATCTAAACTAGACCCTGTTTTATAGATAGATAGAAAGAGAGAGATGGAGAGAGAGAGAGGGAGAGATAGCGTGAGAGAGAGATAATTTTCCATGATGCAGTTCCTTAGACTCAGGGATTTCCCCCTTCTTCTATTCCCTCCCTGCCACTGTTTTCCCCTATTATGACAATAGTATAGTGTGTACCACACCATTGTAGGTATAGACAATGATATAAAGTCTAGCATTCTATTGTCAAGATATATTCAAGTTTAATTGGGAGTCCATCTTTTATGCAGAAGTTGAGATGCTTACTGTGATGTATCTCCATGGTATACTTGCCCCCATTACACAGTTTCATCTAGAGAAATTTATGTATATACATACACTCTCTGCTAAAGGCAATCTTCATGCAAAATACAAGATCAACAGATACATAAGGAAACATGTACAGACATGTACAACATGTATGGACCCTCTTAAAATCCAGTTCTAATCTTTTCTGTAAGTAAACACGCAGTATGCAATCACATAATTTTTAACTACTATTAAGCCTGTCTTCCCCCAATAACCCGATAAAAGCTCCCTGAAGACTTGTTCACCACTGAATCCACAACACCTGACTAAGTGGAAGGAAGTAGCTATTAACTGTGAATTTGTAACTCAAAGCTAAATGTCAATGCCTTCGAGAAACCTTCTTGATCTATGTATAAGTTCATTCTGCTTCAACCACTTTTGATGCATGGTCTACATTTCACTTGGCACATTTTACAGAGTTTTTTATCCTTATGTCATTCTTTCTTACATTTTTCTATTACTGCAAAAGAGCAATTGCCTACATTGCCGAAAGATCTTATCTTACTCATCCTTAGATTTCTGGTTTTTGGCATATAAAACACAATCATTAGTAACTGCTGGGGAGAGGGAAATGAATAAATTAAAGCATTATCTTGGGCTTGGCACGGTAGCCAGGAGGTTAAAGTCTTTGCCTTGCACATGCTGGGATCCCCTATGGGCGCCTGTTCTAATCCTGGCAGCTCCACATCCCATCCAGCTCCCAGCTTGTGGCCTGGGAAGGTAGTTGATGACGACTCAAAGCCTTGGGACCCTGCACCCAAGTGGGAGACACAGTAGAGACTCTAGGCTCCTTGCTTTGGATAGGCTCAGCTCCGGCAGCTGTGGCCGTTTGGAGAGTGAATCATTGGATGGAAGATCTTCCTCTCTATCTCTCCTCCTCTCTGTATATCTGATTTTCCAATAAAAATAAATCTTTTAAAAAATTATCTAGAATGCAAAAGAAGAGACAACTGCTTGTGAAATATGTGAAGTATAATGTCTGCTAACTTAATTATTGAAAGGCTCAGAATCCCAACACAAGAAAACTCAAATGTTGAGCTTAAAATTTAGCAGTGAGGGGCCCGACAGTGTGGCCTAGTGGCTAAAGTCCTCGCCTTGAATGCGCCGGGATCCCATATGAGCGCCGGTTCTAATCCCAGCAGCTCCACTTCCCATCCAGCTCCCTGGTTGTGACCTGGGAAAGCAGTCAAGGACAGCCCAAAGCTTTGGGACCCTGCAACCCGAGTGGGAGACCCGGAAGAAGTCGGATGGAAGATCTTCCTCTCTGTCTCTCCTCCTCTCTGCATATCTGACTTCCCAATAAATAAATAAATCTTTAAAAAAAATTAGCAGTGAAGCAATTTATGTTCAGATTAGAAATCACACAGATTATTCAGATTGAACAAACCACTAAAACAGTGTTCAAATCTCTTGACACCACTCCACTCTAGGACAAGGTTCCCTGCCCATAGGAACGCTGGCGCTTTTGTGATGTCAAGAAAACAGCCAAGGAGTCTGTGATTCATGTCTACTCTTCATTCCTCACGCACAGCCATTTTCACCCCTCTTACCACCACAGCTTTTGTCCACGTTTGTTCTGTCCCTGCTGTGCATTGTCGAACATGTTAGATCCTGCTTGACGTAATCCAGGGTTAAGCAGTAAATAACTGGTACCAATGAGGACATTTCTCAGCCTGTCTCCGTTTTTTTTTTTTTAAGATTTATTTTATTTTTATTGGAAAGTCAGATAGACAGAGAGGAGGAGAGACAGAGAGAAAGATCTTCCGTCCGATGATAAACTCCCCAAGTGGGCACAACGGCCAGTGCTATGCTAATCCAAAGCCAGTAGCCAGGAGCTTCCTCCAGGTCTCCCACGCCGGTGCAGGGTCCCAAGGCTTTGGGCTGTCCTTGACTGCTTTCCCAGGCCACAAGCAGGGAGCTGGATTGGAAGCAGGGCTGCCGAGATTAGAACTGGTGCCCAAATGGGATCCTGGCACATTCAAGGCGAGGACGTGAGCTGCTAGGCCTCGCCGCCAGACCCCTAGCCTGTCTTCATTTTGTAAAGCACCCATTCTGAGACATTAGATACGTATTTATCTTACTGTGCTTCTGCCAATCTTGTCCATACATCTCTCCTGTTTTAAACAGCCTATGTAACAAGATTCGTTACCCGTCTACATACCAATTTTAATCTAGGAAACTGTGCAAGTGTGAAAAATCCTTTACCTGTCAACTGGATCTATCATGGCGTTCACTGTACCTTACCCCCAGTAAGTGTCCTCTAGCATGGGGATCTGTAAAGCAGCTGTTTTCAGAATTAAGAATTATGTGTATATGAGAATGGCTCCCTCAGGCACCAAGAACCTGTAGGTAGGTAGGGGTCTATTCCTGTACTCTTCACTCTGAGGAAGCATTTTGAGGGGTTTTTCAAAGTTGACCCTGGTGGGAAAGTGGAGACACAGGTAAACTAGCAGTGGTGATAGTGGCACTGAATCCAGACTGGCTAGGACTGGAAACATGAGGCACTGGGACAGGAGTTTTTGGCCAACTTGGAGTAAAAAGAATGAGACATCCTCTTCCTGTACTGCACCAAATTCACATTCTTGATGACCATGTTATTAGCTTCCACATCACTTGAAGCTTTTGGAAAATACTACATAGGGTCTACTTGCATGGAAAGAGTCCTTACAGCTTGAATCCACACAGAAATGAGCTGCTGCAATTCCGTTCGCGCCTGCGCCGACAGCTCCAGGATGCGCTCTCGGTGCTCGTGGCTGGTATAGGGAGAATCCGTGAAGTCCTCTGTACGCTCCAGAAGGACCTCCAAGGTTGCAGAAAGGTTCTCTTTGGACTGAAAGTAAAGATTCTCTTGGAGAGCTTCAATATTCAACTAAGAACAAAAAGGATACACATCGTCATGAGTCCCTCCAACATGAGAGAGGAGCTAGTTCCTGGCTCCTGTCTTCATCCTGGCCCTGCCCCAGCTGGGGTATAGTCATTCAGGGAGTGGACCAGTGGATGGAAAATCTCTCCTCTCCCCCAACCGAATACATGTGTGTCCATCCCTGTCACTGTGCTTTTCAACCAAACACATAAACAAATCTTTTTAAAAACATAATCTCGGGGCTGGCACTGTGGTGCGGCAGGTACAGAGCCACCATCTGCATCACTAGCACCCCATATGGGCACTGGTTTGATTCGTGGATGTTCCACGTCTGACCCAGCTCCCTGCTAATGCACTTGGGAAAGCAGTGGAAGACAGCCCATCCTTGGGCTGCTGCACCCACATGGGGAACCCAGAGGAAACTCCTGCTTTCTGGCTTTAGATAAGGTCTCCCCTGCCCACTGTGATCACTTGGGCGGTAAAGCAGCAGGCAGGAGATCTTTCTCTGTAACTCTGCCTTTCAAGAAAACTCTAACAGCCCCATCAGCAAAAGAATTTCTAAGAGAGTAACGGATCGTTACAGGTTTTTCCCTCAGGAAAAGACTTAGGGTGGGTCTGGTATCAAACACAGACATGGAAATTGAATGGCTAGGGACTTTGGGATCGGAGAATCTTGGCTGCAAAGAAGGGACCCACCACTTACAATTTTCCTTTTCAAAAGAACAGAAACTATATTCACTTCAAAGAGCAGTTATATTAAATAAGATACTTACTGAAAGCATTGTCCCTAAAAAGAAGTATCCTTCTTCTTGCTTTCTTTCACCCCATGTTCCCATTTAGGCTGTCACAGAACTAGAAAAGTACAGTAAGCTGGGAAGCTAACAATCCCTGCCACCACCTTGTGAAAGAAGTAGGTATCCCTTAGTATAGGGAGTCACCTCACAGGATCTCGGCTTTCCCATCTGCTAAAGGGGCACATGGTACTGGATGATTTTCCAGAATCCCCACTCCTGATTCACATGTTATCTGTTCCCAAAGAACAGCTGCACCATCTTTCCACTTTGGATGTGAGGTCGAATTTCCTGGGATTGCACTGCCTCGTTTCAAATCCCAACACAGCACTTACTGGCCAGCAGGTGAACCTCATGTTTCCCAGCCTCCTCAATACTGTAAGGGAGGTAATAGCAACAGTGTTGGTGGCTGGCACTGAGGCACAGTGAGTTAAGCTGCCACCTGTAATTCCAACATCCCATATGGGTACTGGTTTGACTCCCAGACACTCTACTTCCAGCCTAGACCCCTGCTAATGTGCCTGGCCTAAGTGTTTGAACCCCCATACCCACGTGGGGAACCAGAAGCAGCTCCTGGCTGCTACTACATGTAGGTAATGATACTCATTAAAAACAGAAAAAGTCGACATGTGCTCTCTTTATTCTTACCTTGAATTCTTTAATTCCAGTGAAAACACTGACAGATGAAGGGTCAGTCTCTCCATTTGGCTTACAGTCAGTCACTATTTCAATGACCTTATCCAACGCCACTTTCATACGGTTAAATACTCCCTCTTTATTTTTATGGGCTGATTCGCAATTGGGGTGCCTCAGACATGTCTTCAAAACAATTGCAAGTTTTGATGTTAACATTCAACCCACATTCTAACACACAAAATCGTACAGAGAACATTTCATGCTAATAAAAATGGTTCTTTACCCAAAGCTCCTGGGTCCCTGGCTCCCCCAGCTGCCTCTCCTCACTAAAGTGGAAGCAGGGTGAGTAAAAAGCGACAGCAAGGTTAAGTGAAAGACAAAGAGTGCAAAACTACGCCTGTAACACCGCAACAACAGTGGAACCACATCTGGATGGGGAAACCCTCTCTTCTTTGCAATTAAAACCATTTTAAAATGCCACCTTACTCATGCAAGGACTCAAAAAGGAGGAAGGAGATGGATCAGAATTGGTTTGTAATGGTGGTTAAAAAAAATGATACAAATGAAAAACAACTCAAGGGCCAGATGTGAACAGCACCTTCCGAGTGGGCTCTTTGACGTCTGTGAGGCTTCACTGATTCTGGCATGCAGAAATCATTCTCAGAAGAAAAGACAACTCTAAACAGGCTTCTACGGAGTTATTTACAAGTCCATTCCTGAATTGTACCAATTTCCTGGCCAACTGCAGTCTGGAAATACAAGCTCTTCATTGATAATTTTGTGCAAAGCAGAAAAATGAATCAGAGGTATGAATTTACAAAATAAACATGCTGAGGGCTGACTTCGTGCTCTACTGCTAATTTAACAGATCCTGACACGCCCAGATTTTTCCAGGGCACATGTCCTGGCTCCTCTGTGAGCAGGGAGTAAGTGTGTCAGGTGGGCCTTGATTCAGAGTGCCTGACAGACACAGCGGGCTCTGCTCAGCTGCTCAGGCAAGGCAGGCGCTCCGATGCATTTCTGACTGGAGTTGGGGAACAAAGTTAACATTCTTGTAAACATCAAATGAAATCTGACTCCTCAGGCCTATCTTCCCAACTAGCAATCTGATCTTTTGGAAAATGTGCAATATGTAACTTTAGATGTATTTAGTTAAGTTTCCTACTTATTTATAACACAAACAAGAGGTTTCTTACCTTTGAAGCAGTGAGAAGCATCATTGTGCACTTTTCAAGAACTGCCCTAGCTGCTGCCATTTTTGCTTTTTTCTTTTCATCTTTCAAATCCTAGGAATGAAAAAAAAAAAAAAAGGAAGAAAAAATACTGGGTAGTTGAGGATCAGGAGAATAATCTAATTTCCTGGAAAAGCATTTTCTCAGCAAGTATAACACTCAAAAATTCAATGATATTAAGTGAAAAAATGATCAAAATTTGTAAAGTGCCACTGCTTAAATCTAAATACAGTAGTCCCTGTCCCTTTATCTGCAAAAACATTAAATGGAAAATTCTAGAAATAAATCATTCATAAGTTTTGGGTTATGCACCATCGTGAACAGCATGATGATATTCTGCACTGTCCTGACAGGACATGAGCCATCTCTTAGGCCAGAGTAACCTGTGCTGCACACACTGACCACTAGTTATCACAGCATCCCAATGCTTATGCTCAAATGATTCTTATTTTCCTTAATAATGAAATGCATTACTAAGAATGCAAGAGTAGCAATGAAAAGGGAAAACACCAAGGCATTAGGATAGACAGATTCAGTCTGGTACTATGTGTATGAGGCAAGGCACAGAGGAAAAAGCACAGTGTACTTAGGGTTTAGAACAATTTGTGGTTTTGACCCCTCACTGGGGGCCATGGAATGTATCCTCAGTGGATGAGGAGTGCTACTAGACACTAACCCAGTATGAATGAAAGATGAAGCTGCCCTTCAGAAGGAGGCCTGGCCAGGAACTCAGACCCTGACAGAAGTCCCAGCATGGGGCAGACCACATTCTGGTGGTCTGACATTCTCACATCCAAGTGGACACTGCACAGAAGCAACCATTCTATGGCTTGCCTAACTAAAAGTGACTTTATCTTCCTTTACTGTTGCCCCTTGCCCACTCTAATCCACCACTGGCCTCTGTGATGTCCTCTGAGCACAGCAAACGTAACTTCTGTTTAACTATCCATCTCCCCCAACCACACTAACCTGCAAGCCACACCAGGGCAGAGATTTCTGTGTCCTCCACTTACTGTTGTATCCCCAAACAGCTGAAGAATATTTCCTTAATGAATGAAACTGGCCCAGGGATGGCACTGCGGCATAGAAGTTAAAGCTGTTGCATTTCCAATCCAGCTCCCTGCTATGGCCTGGGAAAAGCAGTGGGAGATGGTCCAAGTGCTCGGACCCCTGCTATCCACATGGGAGACCCAGAAGAACCTCCCGGCTCCTAGTTTCAATCTGGTTCAGCAACTGGCTGTTGCAGCCACCTAGGAAGTGAATCAGTCGATAGAAAATCTCACTCTGTAACACTTTCAGAATAATTTTTTTAAAATGAAAGAAAAGAAACTGGCTTATAGCCAGAGTATTTTGATCATGTGAACACTGGATATACATTGCATGCAAATGCTCGTGAGTAATTTCATCAAACACAAAGATGCCCAAATGGCTGCTAGCAAGTTTCAGAGCCCTTTCTCTGGTGAACTAAAATTTTAAAAATACTCAGACCAAGTGTACAGAAGTTTTAAAATGTTGGCTCATAGCGCTATAAAAATTGGAGAAAACAAAAGTTCTCCATAGCAAATTCCTAACCACAAATCAAAAGAATGGTGAAAGTGTTGTAGCTTTGTCCAGAAAAGGAACTGGCTCGGGAAGAAAGCCTGACACAGGGATGGCAGCTGTGGAACCTATGAATCACATCGTGAATGCCCAAGTGGTCAGAAGACGTTAGACGGCAAGCTGTCACTGTTATAAATATCCAAGCCAGTGGCTTTTACAGAAGAAAGAGGGAGGAAGAAGCCAAAAACAGAAATGAAAAAAAAAAAAAGAGAATGAAAAATGACTTTATTAAAACATGCTGGGGTTGGTGCTGTAGTGCAGCAATTTAAACCACTGCCTGCAATACTGGTTTCCCATACTGACACAGGTTTGCATCCCAGCTGCTCCACTTCTATCCAGTTCCCTGCTAATGTGCCTCAGAAAGCATTGAAAGAGGGACTACTGCCATCCATATGGGAGAATCATACGGAGTTCCAGATTCCTGGTTTGGGCCAGGGGGCCATGTGAGGAATGAGCCAGCAAATAGAAGCATTCTCTCTCTCTCTCTCTCTCTCTCTCTCTCTCTCTCTTTCTTTAACTCTGCATTTTAAATAAATAAATAAATGAAGGCAGGAAAGGAAGAGAAGGGGGAAAAGGGAGAGGAAGGACAGCAGAGAAAGAGGGGAAGGGGGACTGGCAGAACAGAACAACAGTAAGGTGTCTAAAAAGACAGCTTAGGAAGTACAGAGCAAGGCCACTGCCCAGCATGCCATCTCCCAGCACCGGATGCAACATGAAAGCACACATCAAAGCTAACAGAGGCTGACACTGCAGCACAGTGCTTTAAGCTGCTGCTGGCAATGGTTGGTGCTCCATCTCAGAGCTTGAATCCTGGCAGCTTTGCTTCTGTTCCAGCTTCCTGCTCATGTGCCTGGAAGAGGCAGATGATGTGTTAAGTACTTGGGTTCCTGCCGCCCACATGGGAGACCTGACTGCAGCCTGGCTCAGGCCCAGAAACCGCAGCTATTTGGAGAGTGAACCAGAAAATGGAAGCACTCTCTCTCTCTCTCTCTCTCTATCTCTCCCTCCCACCTTCTCTCTCCTTCTCTGTCACTCTGTTTTTAAATAAATAAACACTTAAAAGACAAAAAAGAATTGAGAGAGTATTCTTTGTGGCAATACTCAGAGGAATCCCCCAAAACCAGTCAGTTATGACCTGTTGAACTTGCTGATAAGATGGACTCAAGCATAAACACCCAAGAAGACAAAGCCAGTCATGGTGTACTAACATGGGCTTCCGCCTCTCTACACTCTGAACGGGGCAAAGGCCTGTGAAGAGCCTGTCATGCCACAGCTTCAGGACCACGTGTAACGGAGCTCAGTCTTCCACACGGTGACCCTGAGAAAGGGCATCATCACCCTCTCAGGCCACGTTTCCTCAGATGTGAAACAGTAATGACAAGGCTTCTGCCGGAGGGCTGCCCTGAGAGTGAAACCAGATCTTGGAGTTTAATTCCTTAACCCCCAGGCTAGGCAAACTGATCCTGGCTGGGGTTATTACTATTCATGTAACATGATTACAATAACAGAAACACAAAACAAGGAAAGAATACATATGAAAAGCAAGTGTTTGAAGACTGTCTAACCTTGTGTGGTATCTGGGGTGGGAACACACGGAATGGTGATGCGTGTGCAGAAAGACACAGGGATCCATCTACTTCATCCTGGCTTATTTATGAAATTTTCAAGGTCAGAGTCATAGATTTAATAAGCAAAGAAACCAACCTGAACAATGGCAGATTCTGACTCTATCCAAACTAAAAAGAAAACATTTATCTGAGTTTTAAAACACGGTAAATACATACATTTTGCCTATCTCCCGTTAGATGCGCAAACTCCACCATTTCGTTTCCAAATTGACTGAACATCTGAACAAATTCTTGAAAGCTGTTCACTTTCTCTAGTCTTTCCATAGTTGCAAGAACCTGCAAAACAGAGAAGATCAAGTTATCAGGTGACAGATAAAAAGAAAGTGACCAAGAGGGCCAAAGGCTGAGCACAGAGAGTGGAAAAAAAGGGAAATTCTAAGGAGCCAAAACGGAAGAAAGCAACAGACGCACTCAGAGAAGCGGAAGTGGATTGACAAGTTAGAACCATTTAGAGATTCTTCATTTCTTAGAACAGGAAATGGGCCTATCCAAAAGTTAGAATGAAAAAAGAGCCAAAGAAATGGCCACATACACACACACACACAAAGAGAGAGTCCACATGATCACATGTGGCAAAGGTGAGACAGGGCAGGATGCCAGATATCAAATCTTCAGAACAGGAAGGGCCGCGGAGGGACAATGACCCCCCAGAAGCTTTGGGGTGCAGGGAACTGGACTCAGAGGCACTCCCAGCACCTCAGGAAAGCGAAAGGAAGGTCATCTGAAGGAAGGTCATCGGAAGAGTGAGGAGTGCAAAAGTGGGCTGGGAGCGCAGGAAAAGAGCTGGCTTAGCCAGGGACTGCCAGTGTGGAATACACGAATCACCCAGAAGCTCTGGGTGGCCTGGAGCGTGTGGGAGTGTGAATCTGTCACACAGTCAACAGATGTGTTGCGTGTTTACTGGAAATAAAGTAAATAGATGGGATATAGATTTTTCAAATGTGTTTTCTCTAAAATAACAGTACTACATTCGTTTTAGTCAGATAGGTTTAAAAAAACACAGACATCCTGTGTTTATTTACTTTTAACGAGGATGTGACGGAAATTTGGCAGTGTTCATCTGCCCTGGCAGCTCAGGAAAGCCAAGCCACGGGCATAGATAAGGCATTATGGGGCCTCGGCCTTTCACAGAGGGGTTTTCTAGAAAGGTATTCTTCATGCACTGTCTAAACCACCTCCCCAGTCTCTTTTTCTGTTTGAACTTGGGCTTTTGGATTCTCTCAACACTCAATAAGCCCCTTCATCTTCCAGATCTACTGGGACAAAGTATTCCCCAGCTGACTGCCCTCCCCTGGCTTTTAGGGCTAGAGCCAGAGAAGGAAGGGTCACATGTGCCCCGGGTCCCCGGATGATCGTAAAGCATTGTCTGAGACACCAGAAGAGTTTACAATCATTTTATTCTATTCTTTTGAAAGGCAGAGAAACAGAGAAAGGGAGAATCAGAAAAGAGATCATCCATCTATCGGTTCACTTCCCAATGCCAACACCAACCCAGAGTGGGCCAGGCCAAAGCAGCTAAGAGCCAGGAATTCCATTCACATCTCCTTGGTGGGTAGCAGAAAATCAAGCACCCAACCACCAGGGGCTGCCTCCCACAGGCATTAGCAGGAAGCCAAAGCAAGCAAGGAAGCAAGCAGAGGAGCCAGGACTCAAACAGGCATTCTGAGACAGCATGCAGATATCCCCAGAGATGGTTTAGCCCTGCTGTACTACAATGCTCATCCCAAATTCATTTTCTAAATTTTATAATTATTCAGCAGCAATGTTTAGGGACTGCGTGCACAGAATATAACTGGAGAGCAGACTAATTATCTTAAGCTTCTATAATGTTACTCCTTGACTTAAGAAAGAATACACTTGGAAAGAATTCATTACTTTTATAAGACATTAATAAGGGGCGTGGCTTTTCTTTCCAAACATTCCACACATTTAAAGCATTACTGGGGCTGGTTAGGGTGCAGTGAGTTAAGCAGGTGCTTGCAAGGCCTGCATCTCCTGTTATTGTGCTAGTTTGAGTCTCTATTGCTGCACTTCTGATCTAGTCTAGGAAGATAGCGCAATGGTCCATGGAGCTGAGTCTGCCATCCATGTGGGCGACCATCATGGAGTCTCTGGCTTCTGATTTGGTCCTTGCCCAATTGTGGCTATTACACTCTTGAGGGGCAAACCAACAGATGGAAAAATCATCTTTCACTATTCTGTGTTTCTTCCACTCTCTAGCTATATAGCTTTCAAACAAATTAGGTACATCTTTAAAGTGTGAAGCTTTCTGTTAAAAAAAAAATTAAATATAAAGCTTTTACCAATAAGCCTCAACAAATTGATGTTGATTTTCAGACAAGAAACATTATTTGCATCCAAAACTTTCGGCCCAGTAAACACATCATTTAGAAATTAAAAGTATAAACACTAGTTTTAAATTGCGGTCATTTAGAACTATAAACAATTAGAAAAGACAACCATTGACAAACTACCTGCCAATTAGTTGAATGTTCCTGAACAACTCTCAAAGACAAAGATGGAGTAACACCAGAAAGGTAAGTACCTTATTTCTTGATGTTATTATCTGTTTAATAACTACTCGGTCTGCCAGCAACAAAACCTTTGTTACGGAAGAAAGAAGTAACCTTGCAGCTTTTATCACTCCTGCTTTATCTGTAAAAATTGTGATCTGGCCACCAGGTTCTGGATGATTCGAGCTGGTTAGGTCTGTAAGAGCAGCGATTGTTTCTCCTAAGAGAAAGGAGAAGGGGAGGTTAAACCGAGGGTAAGACACAACAGAACTAAAATCCAGACTTTCCTCTAACCTTTAAGGCAATGTGCTGCACGGAGAGAAGCTTGGTTTTGGAGTCTTGCTTCAGCAACAAGAAAAAATCTTGCTTTGATGACCACAGCCATTATCCCAGGATAACGGCTTTCTTGTTTTTTTTTTTTCCTAGATTTATTTTATTTATTTGAAAGGCAGAGTTACAGAGAAGAAGATAAGAAGAAATCTTTCATCTGTTGATTCACTCTCCAAAGGGCCTCTGTGGTTAGGGCTTGGCCAGATCCGAGTCAGATCATCTGGGTTTCCCACATGGGCGCAGAGGTCCAAGCACTTGGGTCATCTTCAATTGCTTTCCCAGATACACGAACAAAGAGCTAGATCAGAAGTGAAACAGCCAGGAACCAGTGCCCATATGGAATGCTGGCATTGCAGGAGGCAGCTTCACTGGTTACACAACATCAGCCCCAGGAAGCTTTCTAATGACAAAAATAATAGCGCACTGGAGAATGTGGCAAATTTTTGTCTTTGCCCTGTTTGATAAATTATCACAATTATTGTTTCCCGTGGTATGATCAACTATACAGGTTAAAACTTTCTGTTCTCAAGTCATTACAAGTCTGAGGGGGGTCACAAAAACAAAGAACCTAAAGCTGAGTAAGTAGGTACCGGGACTGGGAGGGGACAGGGCCAGGGGAAGGGAGGAGGGGTCATCACCAATCACCATGACCTGAAGGGGCTTGTGCTTTTAGGGACACTCGAGGACAGCCAAGGACATGTAAGGACAGCCGAAGACAAGGCATTGGGTCCCAAAGGACGACCTCTGCAGTGAGAAGGAGGCCAAAAAATTGCCGTGTGTAAGCTGGTCAGTCTGGATGCTGCACGGGGAAAGTAAAGGCGACAGTGGCCCTCCTGGGAAGGCCTGGCACAGGCTGCCCCCCGGCTGCACTGCAGCTGCTCTTTTCACTTCTTATGACGCCCGGCACCAGTGGATTCCACTTCTCTCGAATGATTCTCATCTTCACTGTCTCAAGGTCAAGTTTCCTTTTGAGTATATCAAGGACACATCAATGAAAGAACATATTTGCTCTCCTCAAAGATGAAATCATGATAGAATATTCTCCAACCCTCCTTACTGCTACAGTTAACAAGATTTTTTTAATTAAATATATATGTATTTTATATATACACAATGTTATTTTTAAAAATTAAATATATATATATCTCACCTTGAAGTGTCCAAGGTATTTAAATCATAAGTAAATGCACATTCATAGTGTGTTGATTTTCTCACAAATCCTTCTTGTCCATCTTATTAAATACATAAAATCGGGTTTCATCCATATACAGGCTAAGGATTTTGAGTAAAAGGACTGGAATCTTAGTGGACACAGCACAAGATGTGATAAAGTTAATGTTCAGAAAGATCAATCTTGTGGGAATATAAAGTGTATCGGAAAAGAGAGATTCAAGCCATTTCAATTGTGCGAGGTGGCAAGAACCATGTTTATATGGATGGCAACCATAGAAACATAAAGATGATTTAGGAGGTACCAAAGAAAGAAAACAAAAATTAATACTTGATCAATTTTAAGAAGGAAAGGAAGAATGAAAAAATGGACTTATTTGAAAATAAGTCACTGAGGGATCAGCATTGTGGCTTAGTCGGTAACATCACCACCTGTGATGCCAGCATCTCACAAAGGCACTAGTTTGAGTCCTTGGTGTCCACTTCCAATCCAACTCCATGCTAACACATCTGGAAAAGCAGTAGAAACTGACCCAAGTATTTGGGGCCCCGACAAATACATGGGAGACGTGGAATAAGCCTCTGGCTCCTGGCTTCAGCTCAGCCCAGCTCCAGATGGTACAGCCATTTGGAGTAAACAAGCAGTGATGAAAGACTTCTCTGTCTCTCCCTCTCTCTATAACTCTGAAAAATAAACAAACCTTTAAAAAAAAAGTCACTTAAAATCAGAAGGGAATGGAAATTTACTGTCAGACAACTCAAGTTCAAAGGACACAGAAAGACATGCAAGCTAAGCCACTATCCATGGCTGATATTCTGCCAACAGATGACATTTATGGTCAGCTCCAAGGTGACTTTCAACTAACCCCCTTTGCTGCCATTCACATCCTTATGTTGTCACCTCCTACCAGGTGAGCATAGCAGAAGTGAGGCCATGGCAGTTAAATTCTGAAAGAAAGTTAGATTTAAAAAGTTATCACTTTTTTAAAAGATTTTTTTTTAATTGGAAAGTCAGATACACAGAGAGGAGGAGACAGAGAGGAAGATCCTCTGCCTGCTGACTCACCCCAAAGCGGCTCCTGGTTTCCCATGAGGGTGAAGGATCCCAAGGCCTTGGGCCATCCTTACTGCCCTCCCAAACCACAAGCAGGGAACCAGATAGGAAACAGGCCCACTGGGATTAGAACTGGTGCCCATATGGGATCTTTGCACTTGCAAGGCAAGGACTCCAGCCACTAGGCTACTGCACTGGGCCCAAGATTATCATCATAACCCTCATTCTTCTTCTCCCTCTTTCCCCTACGGAAGTCAACTGCACATCCTAAACAGAGGTGTATGTGGTCAGGAAGGAAGGCCTCCATCAGCTGCCCACAAGGAAGGCTCAGCCAGGGGGAGGAGCCTCGAAGCAGAACCTGCCATCCAGCCACACCTCCAGGTCTCTGAGGACAGCCTATGCCTTGCCCACAAGTGTCAAGAACCACCCAGGTAAGCCATGCCCTGAGACCTGACCCTCAGAGATACCTGAGGGAATAAGCTTAAGGTTTTAAGCTGCTAAACTTGGGTTAATTTGTTACACAGCAACTGGTAGCCAATGCAAAGTTTAAATGACAAAATACTCAGAACACAACATTATTCAACTAAATAGGCATATACAACAATTAACTGTCTATATTCTATCAGCAATAAGTGAAAGGACTAAAATGTTGCCTCTCTTCCTCAAAAAAGCATTAATTTACTGAACTCAGAGGTACATGGGATGGTATCATTTGATCAGCCCCAACCACATGGCCAAAAATTTCTTTAACATGATGAAAACGTTCAAAATGTAAAATGCTCAGAAATTACTAGCCTGAAAAAGTAGCCACGCTGTCATATAGCTTCATGGTTGCCACTCTGAATTTATTATATTCAACTAACCAGTGTTGCATCTTAATGCAAAAATCCCAAAGTCAATCAAACACAGCTAAACTTTCATATAAAACCTACCTTACCTGGTTTCCATGCTAAAAGTAAAAATACAATGCAAAGGTTCAACATAGGGGAGGAAGTATAAAAAGGGCCAGCTTTGTGGTGTAACAAACAGGTAAAGCTGCCACCTTTAACACCAGCATGCTATGTGGGTACAGCTGGCATCCGGCCACTCCAGTTCTGACACAGCTCCATGCCAACGGTCTGGGAAAAGCAGCTGAAGATGGCCCAAGTACTTTGACATCGGCCACCCACGTGGAGGAGCCAGAAGGTGCTGCTGGCTTTGGCCTGGCTTGGCCCTGGCCATTATGGCCATCTTGAGAGAGCATCAGCAGAGAACTCTCTCTGTCTCTCTTTCTCTCTGTCTCTGTCTCTGTCTCTCTCCTTTCTTCCTTGTATGTAACATAATTATTTTAAAACAATAGTTAAAATAAAACTAATACTGTGGAGCCTTATATGAAAATACCTCTATAAATTCCATTCTATAGATGAGAATCCTGAGGCTTGAAAGTTTAACAGCACAGGATCACAGTTACAGCACAATGCCACAGTGCCAGCATTGAGAGAGTTGAGATTGAAATCCACACAGCCCAACTCTGACGTTGTGATTGTTTTTTTACCACTACTTTGTATTACATCCCTTGAATCTATAATTGTCCAGAGAAGAATATGATCAGGATGAGCCAGCAGGAAAGGAACCTTTCAGAAGCAACTTAAGTCTTAATTTGTACATAATACTAGAAAAACAAACAAACAAACAAACAAACAGAAAGAAACCTTTCATATGTTACAACTCCAGGAAGCACCATTTCCACTTTTAAAAAAAGATTTATTCATTTTTATCGGAAAATCAGATATATAGAGAGGAGGAAGACCGAGCGGAAGATCTTCTGTCTGATGATTCACTCCCCAAGTGGCTGCAATTGTCAGAGCTGCATTGACTGATCCGAAGCCAGGAGCCAGGAGTTTCTTCCAGGTCTCGCATGTGACACCTGTAGGGTCCCAAGGCCTTGAGCTATCCTCAGCTCTTGACTGCTCTCCCAGGTCACAAGCAGGGAGCTGGATAGGAAGCAGGGCAGCTGGGACATGAACTGGCACTCATATGGATCCTGTCATGTTCAAAGTGAGGACTTTAGCCACTAGGCTACCATGCTGGATCCTCTATTTCCACTCTTGAGCTGGGAAATGGCAACCCTGACAGCTGGTGGCTTCCAAGACCTCCATGAGTGCAGCTGCCTGTAACTGCAGTATTCATGGGGAACCCACAGCCTACCAGAGCACGTCAGAGTGGTACAGCCTTGTCTTTCACCCTACACTGAGCACAGTGACAGGTCACAAAGCCAGCAAAGAGTCTCCCAGTGAAAGAACCTATTCTGGCTTTAATCAAGATTATTATGACACAACAAGATGAAGAACATCCCAACATTCGCTGTTGAATTGGCCGTTGTACTATGTAATGTCTGTTTTGAGTGCCCACAGCGTAATTTTAGTGCCAGGAAAAAGTCTCTCTCCTCTTACAAGCTGGTTTGTTTCCTTCTGACAAACAATGAGAATTACATAACCCGTTGTTTCCCACACTTTTGTCTTTCCCTCCAGGAAGTATAAAGATATTTTTCATACTTGGTTAAAATAGTCAGGTTTGCCAAAGTATCTGGTATGTTTATTTTTATCTCCTACTTTAATGGATTTATTGAACATGTCTTTTAGTGTAAGCCATTACAAGTCTTTTTTGAAAGCAGAACTGCAAATTATAAATAGAAAAAGCCTATGGCCCCTGCTTCCCGCATAAAACCTGTTCCAATGACTGCCAGTACTGCTAGAAACTCAAGTCAGCCCAGAGTTCTTCCTTTCCTTGAGTCAACAACCCAGTTCCATCTATCCAACCATCTTCATGAGTATTTTCTGTATTTATCCTGCTCTTCATGGTCCTGCCTTGGTCTAGGTGGTTTTACTGGAAAAGCTTCCACAGTATCTGTGCCTATAACATCAACCCTCTTTCAACCTTTCCTCACTCATGCATTTTCTCTATACTATCAGAAAGATGTCTAATCCAAAACAGTAGCTCTTTCTTCGGGCTTAAACTCTTCAATGCTTTTCCATTGCCTACACAGTAATACCTAAGTCATTCACGTAACACACATGATCGTGTATGATCTGGTCGGCTTCCTCCATATTTACTCAGCCTTATCACATCTGCTTCCTTCCCCTTGACAACCGAAGCACCTGCCCCTCTGTCACAAGTTGTCCACTGCAGGAAATGGCACCATCATTTACGCAGTTATCTGCATATGTCTCAGAGCTATCTGCTATTCTTACTGTTACATCCCCACCCAAACCATTAGCAAACCCATCTTGACAATATATCCAAATGTAACTATTTTCCATCACCTCAGAAACTATTATCTAGTCTAGAGAACCCTGACTACCATCTAGAACACCACATCCACTCCAAGTTTCTCATTACACCCTCCTACCCCATTAAATTCATCCTCTGGGCAGGAGCCAACAGTCATCTTTCTTTTTTTTTTTTTTAAAGATTTATTTTTATTATTTTGTTATTGGAAAGGCGGATATACAGAGAGGAGAGACAGAGAGGAAGATCTTCCATCCGATGATTCACTCCCCAAGTGAGCGCAACGGGTCGATACTACGCCGATCCGAAGCCAGGAGCCTCTTCAGGGTCTCCCACGCGGGTGCAGGTTCCCAAAGCCTTGGGCCGTCCTCGACTGCTTTCCCAGGCCACAAGCAGGGAGCTGGAAGGGAAGCGGGGCTGCCGGGATTAGAACCGGCGCCCATTTGGGATCCCGGGCGTGCAAGGCGAGGACCTTTAACCACTTGCGCCACCGCGCCGGGCCCCGACAGTCATCTTTCTAAAATACAAATGAAATTCCCGAGTGTCCTGTACAAATTCTCCCACTAGCCTTCCAATACAGTTAGAACACAGATACAAGTCTATCATTGCCTAAAAGCAAAATTTATTCTCGCTCTTCTCCTTGCCTGGTGTCCCCTTTCCCCGGGTATTCACATAGCGGGATCTTCATTCCATTGGCAGGCGCTGCTCTAATATTGCTTCTTTGAATTCGTATCATAGTCATTCTCAAACAGGGGCCATTCTAGCCTCCCCAAGTAACAGGCAACAATGTTCAGACACATTTTTGGTCATCTACTGGCATCTAATAGGTCAACACTAAACCTACAATGCTAAGCCTACCATACACAAGAAAGCCCCATTGACAAAGAATTATCTTGAGCCTGGCACGATAGCATAATGGTTAAAGTCCTCGCCTTGCATGTGCCAAGATCCCATATGGTCACCAGTTCTAATCCCGGTAGCCCTGCTTTTCACCCAGCTCCCTGCTGTGGACCCTGCACTCGAGTGGGAGACCCGGAAGAGCTCCTGGCTCCTGGCTTCAGATTGGCTCAGCTCCAGTCGTTGTGCTCACTTGGGGAGTGAACCATCGGATGGAAGATCTTCCTCTCTGTCTCTCCTCTCTCTGTACATCTGCCTTTCCAATAAAAAGCCAGGCTGGACTGATTGTTCTTACTGGTGCAAGCTACAATTAGAGTGGGTGAGTGTTGTTTGGGCTTAGCTGCAGCATCCTGGCAGAGCCTGGCACTGGAGGGCACGAAAACTAGGACAGGGGCTGGGATGGCGAAACAGAGAAACACCCAACAACATCCGTGAGGGCTGGATAGTTGAGCTGGTTAGATGGAACTAGGTTTTAATATCCATTGACATGTATGAGAGCCGAATGGGAAGTGGGACAGACTGAACTAGTCTGCTACACATACTGGCAAACTAGGGTAGGGGGCGGGCCTGGTGAGGGTTATTGTGGGTCACTCTGACTAGGCTGCAGCTCCCATTGGTTTATGTGAGGGCCGAGTGTGTGCTGGGCAGAACCAGGATGGATTGCAACACCCACTGGTTCCAGTGGAAGACAGGCTGGAAGCAGAACCAACCCAGCAATTACAACCACCAGCTGATCGGGGCAATGGACCGTGCTGGGCCCTGTACTTGCTAGTACATATAAGAATCTGGTCTGGGAACACCTCAGGCAAGGTTTCCTTGGGCATCCCCCCAATTAAACTGCCGGACTCAGAACCCTGAGCATAAAAGGACAGAGGACAGAACAAGTCAATCAACCACCTCAGCTATATGTTGGCAGTGAAAGACTGGGAAAACAGAGACTCTGTGATGGACTATGTCAATTAGAGGATTCTTCAACGACCTCATCGTGCTTGGAGTGGTGAGATTGGCAGTAATTCATAACTGCTGAACTATCAAAGCCTCTTGAGCAAGACCCTCAGAGCATGCCCCACATCAGGGACCTGGGGTGAGTGGGAGACTGGGTGGGGCTTCTCCCTTAAAATCCCCCTTTACCTCAGATATATGAAGGAAACAATATGGAAATAATAGTCTTACCCACTTTCCTGTAGCCCTTGAACCTTTTTACCCTAATTAACTATGCAAAAATTATTTTTAAAAATTTAATAAACAATGAAAAAAAATCTTAAGAAAAAAAGAATAATCCTACGCTGGGCCCAGCATGGTGGCCTAGCAGCTAAGGTCCTCACCTTGAACATGCCAGGGATTCCATATGGGTGCCAGTTCTAATCCCCGTGGCCCTGCTTCCCATCCAGCTCCCTGATTATGGCCTGGGAATGCAGTCGAGAATGGCCCAAAGCCTTGGGACCCTGGACCCGTGTGGGAGACACCGAAGAAGCTCCTGGCTCCTGGCTCTGGATCGGTGCAGCACTGGCCACTGTGATCACTTGGGGAGTGAATCATTGAACGGAAAATCTTCCATCTCTGCTCCTCTCTGTACATCTGACTTTGCAATAAAAATAAATAAATCCTTTTTAAAAAAATATCCTATGCCAAATGTCAACAGCATCAAAGTTGAGAAACCCTATCCTCTCTAAAATAGCACCTAGTGGATCTCCAGTTGGCTTGCTTTTTTTTCATGATAACAGTAATTGCCTGACACTACATACTTATTTATTCATTGTTTCTGGTTGTCTCCATCACTAGAATGTAAATTTCTTGAGGACGGATTTGTACATGACTCCATCTCACAGCCTAAAATGCCTACTACACACCTAGCCATCAGTAGACATTTATTGAAAGAATAAATAGATGAACGACACATCAATAAAGCATGTGTAGTCCTCAGAATACCTCAAGATTTTAGGTCACTAGCTCACTAGCTGTAGAGAACTGTAAAACAAGGGAAGTTTGAAGTCACTAAGATTTGTTACTGTAGCATTTTATTTTCATTTCCTACATGGTAGGATATAAACTCTTTGAGGGTAAAGCCCACGCCTCACACATCGCTGCAGTCCTCACATTCAATGATTGTTAGAGAGGATGGCAGACCACTACTCTGACCAGTGCAAGGGTATCTGTTTCAGACCCAGGACACAAAGTGCAATTGGCCTGGATGTTAATCCAGGCCCTTCTTGTCCTAGGCATCCACAATCAAGGGTTAAAACACAATACCCGTCTTTACTCCAATAAAACAAAAATTTGTCATCATATTCCAGCAATTAAAAATCATATGGAGGATATGACATTCCATTGGGGCCTGCAGAGGACAACTGGTACCAGAGCAGAGAAGGAGAACAGAACAAATTGGACAACAACTCCAGCTAAAAAAGGACAGCAAAAATCCGGGCAAATGAAAACTGTAAGGTCAACTGTGTTAAGCCAATGGACATTGGGAGGGATTCCCCATCCTTGGACTGGCAAGATCAACAACATTTCAGAACTATCGAACTCACCTGGGCAGAACCCTTGGAGCATGCGCCATGTTGGGACCTTGGGTTGATATCAGGTGGCCATTCCCCATCCCCGAATACTGGGGCAGTTGCGAGGTTGGGTATGGCTTCTTCCCATATCTACCTCCTACCCCCAGAAACTTAGAAGAAATAGAAAACTTGGAAACAATGACCATACCCATTTTTCCCTAGCCCTCAATATTTCCTACTCTGATCAGCTATGTAAACATCATCAAAAATGAAAATTAAAAATCAAAAATATATATATATGAATAAGCTTCAACAGCAACATCCACATACCTGCTTGCTTAGCTTCAACACAAGCAATATTTATCTCTTCTTTCAAATCCCGGTTTTCATTGGCTATAGCTTCCCCTACTTTGACGAATCTTCCAACTGCCAAGTTCACGGCTTGTCCAACCCGTTGAATTGCTTGCAGAGTTTTATCAGACTTTTTGGTATTATCTTTATGATTAATAAGCGTAGTGATCTAAAAACAGAAGACAAAAGCAACTTGCTTAAACACCTGAATCTTTTTTCCAAAAGTGTGTCACAGAAACTAAGAAATATAACCAGCATACTGGTCTACCCCAGTAAAATAAATTGCTAGTTTAAGATGTTCCCATCAGAGACACACAGCACAACAAAGTATCCCACATTCTTTCTCCCTCAAGACCAAGTTTCCATTAGTTACAACCGTAAGTTCACCCAAGGGTAGTTTTCTGCGAAGTGACATACAGCTCCATAGGCCTTATAGATTCCTCAGCAAACCTTAAACGCAGGAGAAAACCAGGCGTGGGCAAGTGGTGATGTGTCCAGTAACGACAGGAGCCCCAATTTCCTCAGCTCTCTCTTGACCAGCTCTGAGTAGCCACAGGGTGAACAAAAACAGTCCTTGTGCCACATTTACTGAATTCATCACATACTTCAACATAGCCAGTATCATCTATGCTTCAATTTCTCTTATTGGGCTGCACCAGACTCAACGTAAGCCAAATACTTCCTTCCAGAACCTAACAAGTTCAGCTCATTGAAACGAACATAAATCTTCAAGCTGTCTTAGAAAACTAGTGTATGAAGTATGCTGACATACAAAAATAGCTGCTAAAGAATGTGGCATAAAGTGATGACTCAGGTCACTGAGGCCCTGCCACCCATGGGGGAGACTCGGTTCTGAGTCCTAGCTCCTGGATGTGGTCTGGCCCACGCATTACAGGCATTTAAGGAGTAAACCAGCAGATAGGGGTTTGTCTCTCTCATTCTCTTTCTCTCTGTGCCTTTCAAATACATAAAAGCAAAATGAACTTAGAATACAATGTTTAAAAGAAGCTTCAAGGTAAAGCACAATGTGCAAGAGAACAAGTAGAAAGCCAGGGTTGAGGAGATGGGATGGACGAGGGCCTGCCATGAAAGCTGGGAAATGCAGCAAGGAATCCTTTTTATTTAGTGGATTACAGGAAGACAAAGGTTGGGTTCTTTGTAAGTAGCCAAGTGCTCTTGTAATGGTTTTATGCATTAACAAATGTTTCCATACATATCCCTTTAAAAGCTGGAGCCTTGTTTCTCCTGGTGTGGGCTGTGGTTACCGTTTCACTTCTAATCAACAAGAACACAACAGAAACAACAGAGTGCTCGGAAGGTAAGCCTCAGTACTCAGTTATCACCCCCCCCCCCCGGGATCAAGTACAACTGTCATGTCATAGAGAGTACTCGCTATGGTTTGAATGTAGTCCATGTCACCACCACAAATATTGTGTAGAAATTTGATTCACAGTGTAACAAAGCTGAAAGGTGGTGATTAAGTCACTGACAGGTATTAATGCCATTCCAAGGGGGACTCAAGAGTAGGCTGTAATAAAGTCAATCCACTCTTGTTCTGCCTCTCCCTCATGCACTCACCTGCCCTTCCAACTACCTCCATGTCATGACACACCACAAGGCCATCACCAGACTTGGTCTCACAACCTTGGACTTCCCAAGCCTCCCAAATCACAAGTCAAGCAAAATTCCTTTTGTAATACATTAACCCATCCCTGGTGTTCTGATCCAACAATAGAAAACAAACTTAAGACAACACTCAGGCAGTGCCTCTCACGGCAAGAAATGGCTACCTCCTTGCCTTGCATGTACCAGGATCCCTTTTGAGTGCTGGTTCATGTACCAGCTGCTCCACTTCCCTTCCAGCTCCCTGCTTGTCGTCTGGAAAAGCAGTGGAGGATGGCCCAGTGCCTTGGGACCCTGTACCCACGTGAGTGACAGGAACTTGCTTTCCCAGGCACATTGGCAGGGAGCTGAACTGGCAGTGGAGCAACCAGGACTCAAAAGCAGCATCCATATGAGATGTTAGTATTACAGGTAGCCACTTGACTCACTAAGTCACAGTGCTGGTCCCCACCCCAAAATTCTTGACCCAAAGTGTCTGCTGGCTTAGGGCAACAAATCTGGAGTAATTTATCCTGCATTAATAGATAAATAATACAGATTGTAGTACGAGGTCTGCCGTGATGCCATAACGTAAAACGTGGCAGTGAGTTAGAAACAAGGCAATGGAGGGTCATTGGTCTTTAAGTAAAAGAATGTCAAAAAAAACACACAGACTCTTCCTGAACTCTGAGAAAGCTGAGATTGGGATTGCTAAAACAAATACTTGAACATGAGTACTTCACAAAGAACAGAAGTTTATTGTTTACATTTCTCAAGGGTTGGCAATCCAAGATCAAGGTGTCAGCAGAATCAGGGTCAATAAGGGTCCCTTCTTCATAAATGGCACATTCTATATCTTCTCGTGGCGATAGACAAAAGGAGCTCTCTCAAGGTAAAAGTACTGGGAGCCAGCATGGCTACCTGAGATGCCAACATCATATATGGGTGCCAGTTCCTGTCCTGGCTGCTCCACTTCTGATCCAGGTCCCTGTGAATGGCCTGGGGAAAAGAGCAAAAGTTGTACTCCTGCCACCCTGGTCTTGTGCAGAAGACTACAAGAAGCTTCTGCTTTGGCCTAACCCAGCTCAGGCCAATATGGCCATCTGGGAAGTGAACCAGTGGATGCAAGATAGCTCGCTCGCTCTGTGTGTGGGTGCGCGCACACGCACGCGTGCAAGCCTTCCCTCCTTTCTCTGTACCTTCTTCAAATAAATACATAAATCTTTTTTTATAAAGAAAATATAAAAGTATTAATCTTTAGGAAGACTCCATCATGACCTAATCACCTAAGAACCCTCTCCCCCGCCCCTCATCCTCTCAATACCATAGCTGTGGGATAAGCTCCAAGTTGAGGAACCATCAACATAGAGACCATAACAGAAGCTATAGTGAAAGCTGATAGGAAAATGGGGAAAATCTTGGTAGGCATTGATGAAAAGTCCCCCTCCGTGATGTGGAAAGGAGTGTCTTTGAATGTCAAGATTTCAGGGCAGATTTTGAAGGTGCTGCCTGGTTTCTTCTTATTGCTTGTAGTTAAATGGACGAAAGGAGAGCAAAGTTAAAGGAAAGACTTTTAAATAAAAACAAGCCAGAACGTGCTTAGCTTTGAAAATCCCTAGTTTTTCCAGATGACTCCCAGGCAAAAAATAAAACACAGGACACTGTCAAGACATCAAGATCTAAAGATGATGCTTAGGGGGGTGTCACTATAAAATCTGAATGTTAGGATCTCAGAAAGATCCAAGATGGAGCTTCAGCTAATGAATCAATTAAGAGTAGATTTCCTGAGAAGCCAGAAGGTTTGTCTCACAGCAGTCCCCACAGAAGTACAGATGATCAAGACTTTATCTTGGGTATGGCTATGTCTTTTTTTTTTCCCTAAGATTTATTTGATTTTTACTGACAAATCAGATTTACAGAGAGAAGGAAAGACAGATCTTCTGCCCACTGATTCACTCCCCAAGTGACTGCAACTGCCAGAGCTGAGCTGATCCAAAGCCAGGAGTCAGGAGCCTCCACCACGTCTCTCATGCGGGTACAGGGTTCCAAGGCTTTGGGCCATACTCCACTGTTCTCCCAGGTCACAAACAGGGAAAGGAAGGGAAGTGGAGTATCCAGGACACGAACCGATGTCCATGGGATCCTAACGCATGCGAGGCGAGGATTTAGCCACTAGGCTACTGTGTCAGGCCCAGGTATGGCTTTGTCTTCAGGCTTAAGTCCAATATGATTCAAAGGAGACCAACAAAATTAACATAATTATGCATGTAGAAATACCACCTACTTACACCGAAAGAAACAGATCAAAACACAATGAAAGGAAGCTTCTGAACCCCAAGCTTTAAGCACCTCAGTGAGAAAATTATGTGGTAACAAACATGGGCCACCTTCCCCAAAATGGGTGACCCACAGGGTGGCACCAAGAGCCATGGAGAATCATTCCCAGGACTTCCTTCAAGCAGCCAATCCATCCCTAGGTGGATTCAGGATGCTACAAAGCAGAGGAATAAATCCCTATTTTTGCACAGAAGTGATAGCCAGTTATCCTATCCTATCCTAGTTTCATGGGCAAAACCATTCAGGTTATCCTATATGCTATTCTATAGCTTAACAGAGTTACACCTCAGGAATTCTTACAAACAGAAGTCCCCATCGGGGCCTGATTTAGGAGCCATCATCCTAGGGCTTCCAGGTGAAGTAACTTTGGCGAGAATCAGGAATTGGTTTTCAGGTGGGAAGAAAGTAAACAGTGTGTGGCCAGGGGTCAGAAATGTGGTAGTTCTACCGGAAGTGCTCAGTCTTTGCTCACTCTTCCTTCAAGAGAGCACATCCTGCCCTCCTCTCTTTGAGTGCAGGTGCAACTTAGGCACTTGCTTTTTACTAACAGAATGAAGTGGAAATCACAGGGTGCCGTCACTTTAGATGGAAAGTCCCTTGTCAGAGACCGAAGCTGCTAGCACCGTGATCTTGGAATACCCAGCCTTTAGCACTGTGAGAAGCATTTAAAATATTTTTATTACTGTAACACAGATTAAGATAATTGTATTTATCTAACTCCTATACCTACATAATGTTATCAATTTTCAATAATAAGGAACAGATCACACAATTGGGCTCAAGTGCCAAGTACTGTTCAGTTCCCAAACACACTTCATGCTTTCATCACGAGCATCCTCCCCAGTGCATAATTAGGTGTGGTTGTCTTCCTCTTATTTGAAGCAGTGCGGAAAATGTTCATTCCAAATACAGACAGATACGTCTTTAAACTTGGCACTGAGAGGCCCTGAGTCAACTTCTAAATTTCCTTACTAAAGGGTCTACTTAGATCCTAAAATTGTTTTCAAAGATTTTTAAAGGGAGGTGGTTCAAAAGTTATATATATATGTGTTGATTACTTTAAAAAAAAAAAAAGAAATGGAAAAAAAAGGGAGTGGGAATTTGAGAAAACAAAAGTTAAGATACTGTTTGACATGTCCTCATCCCCCTATCAGAGGGCCCAGGTCCAAGTGCCAGATCCACTTCAGTCTTTGAGTGATGGTCAGTGCACACGCTGGAGGCAGCAGGTAA